TGAAACCAAACTCAGCACAGATGTGTGTCAGCTTGAGTCCTGGCACGACTTCTTTCGACAGAAAAGCTGCACAAAGTTGATACACACTCGGTGCCTGGTGGCCATTGTCCAAAGTGTGTCGGTGAGGCCTGTGCCGGTGCCCAGAAAACAGTCTAATTCCACTTAGGCTCACTGAAACAAGCACACGGATTACCTCCATCACTGCAATAGACCTATAATAAATAACACCAGTCAAGAACTGTGCCCGCGATCAGGTATGTGTTATGCAATAAGCTATGCAAATGCAGAGTGGATTTATTTAATCTCATATAACCCTGGAGTCTACTCAAGATCAGGCCGACGTGCACAGCTGTCTAAATAGCTGCTGAGGCCTTGAAGCAGTCAGGAGGGCTGGTTTTCCTGCGTGTGTCGCTCCAGGGGGATCTACAAAGCTGCAGGCCTCATGGGAAAAAGAGATGCTAAAGTACACAGAGTATAAATGTAGAATTGTATTTGCTTGTAGAGGCTTACTTTGAATGCCCCATGCAGCAACTGTAATATCCACAAACAAGTTACAGAATATGTGACCTCTTTTGTACTAAATTGAGCGATTTCTTTTCCATAACCTGCCATAATCAGTTTCTAAAATTAGACAAAAAACATGACATGAATGCATTACTGAGATCAACTTTTGTTTTATATAAACGTATCCTCTGAAGATATGTTACTGTAAACTGCCTCACAAAACAGCTATTAAGATTTTTGTACAAACAGAGCTGTACTGACAGGAATAGATGCTTCACGCACTACAGTAAGAAAGGAATTTAAACCTAAGAAATGCACCAAGCTGCTTTGTTTTGTGTTCCATCAACACTGGATACAATGGTAAAAGACTGTGCTGCGTGTAATTTAGTGTTCTGGTGTCACGGTGCATGTTTTGAGGGTTTAAATTTCAAACAATTAACCTGCCACTCTTGTTTTGGGCCACCAACATGCAAAACAGCAGTGAGGTTTAAAATGAACCTACAGGATTTCCTTAATTACAGATCATCGCCTCTTTTAGGAGAACATTTATTCCTGCTCTAGACCACAGCCCAGGAGGAAGCACCAGGCACCCTCCTCTGCAGTGAATTATGGGATTTCCCTCAGTGCCCGGCCATGAGATGTTACATCAGACTGGAGAACATGTGTGGACTGAACTCTGTGGTAGGGAGTGATGACACCAGAGTGCATACTGTTTTAAAAGTTTTATTTTGAATAACACGATACAAAAACATCATGCTATCCTGCTGCTGAGGTCTCTACTTACTTTCTTTTGTTCTTTCTTTCCCACTCCAGCTCTGAAAAGAAAAAAAAAGAGAGCACAGCAAGGCTTTCTAAATATTATATCACATTAATATCAGATAATTAACAAGAGGCTTAGGAGTGAGGCATGTAAAAACATCTGGATGTCATGTTGAAAATGTTAAGACATTTCTTTTCTTTTCTTTTTTTTTGGTTCTAAATAAAATCAGATTCTTTCATTTATTTTTGGATCTAGTTTGTTAAAACAAACACAGTGACTGCTACTGACCCTATTGAGTGTTTTTAATCTTCAGGCTTACTTTCATTTATCCAAATTTGGCAGTCATCCTTTTTGCCATACGGGTTAAATTTGTCCACAGCTGATTGCAAAGGGAGTTGTTCCCTTCATGGCATCTAACCAAAGGGTGAACACTAAAACCCCAACACCACCAGCCTCTAACAGGCACTCGACTGGTGTGGAAAACAATCCAGGAGACTTTTTCCTAACTAATCCTCACAGTTTCAGAGGTACAAATAGAAGCCCTTATATAATCAAAGAGGCTGTGAACTGCTTTGAGCCACATTTCATGATGAACTTTGCAATAAATTTTTCAGGGGTTCCTTATGTTAGTATTTATATCCAGTTGAACCTAAGATAGACATGCACAGTCAAATTTACCCCACTGAGTGGATAGTACCCCTCCAATATCATGGCGTGAAATGAATGCTAATTTGGTCAAAACATGTTCAGTTAATTAAATTGGACATCACTGAACAGCAGCATTTTTAAAGTTGCAAAGCTTTAAAGCTGAATAATGTGATATTTTGTTTTAGCCTCTAAGTCGGGGGCTGCATCCTTTTAAGAACACAGGCAACAGAGGATGCATCTGTCATGCTTGTGTCAACAACCAACGCCAAAATGAAATAAGGCGGTCTGGTCTATGAGGAACTTCCTGTTTGCGTCACAAGCGGTTCCTGTCCTTGCCCTTGTGTTAGACAGCTTCTATCACCCAGCAACAGGTTGCAAGCTGGCAAACTAGGTTGCATAACAAACAAAGGGCAGCTTCATTTTTTCATTTTAAAGCTTGTATAAAGTTTAAAGGCTCCCTTTTTATTAATTTGATTCTAATTTTTTTGGTTTATTTGTATTCAACCAAAATCTTCTACTCAGGACCTGTGTCCACTAATTACTCTTTTGTTGAACTGGAAACTGTACCCTTGAAAAAGCACATGAGTTAGTTTCTTCTCTGCATGGACCCCACCACTGTTAGCAAGGTTGATCTCAGAGGTCACACCTCTTCTGGGATTTGATTGGTCAGTGCTTGAAAAGTTAAGATACTTTCGACTGAGAGCTCTTTAAGCACAGCGAAAAAAACAACTGACCCATGTGTGTTTTTGCATTTTGGATACTGGGTACTAAAAAATCAAGACAATAGGCGCTACCAGGCCGAAAAAGAGGCTGTTAGTGGACACAGGCCCTTCCAAAAGTGTCCCCCTGGCTCTCTAGTGTACACCATCTACTTTGAACAGTCAAATCTTGGGATAGGATAAGCTATAAAAGCTGAATCCAATAGTTTCTTTACTAACTGGTACAAAATGGGCACATTTGTGAGAGGCAGATGACAGGACTTTGTCATTTCAGTGGGTTTTCAAAAACGTCTCTTGAATGTAGTCCTATGTATTGGGACACGGCTCTTGATTTAATTTGCAACTGTTTTCGGCCTGCAAATTACCAGTTTAGCTTGCAAACATTAGTCATCTTAGTCAACACCAACCATTTTCCTATGACGTATTAATATCTTCCAAATTATCAGTTGTGTGGATTAATGGTTTTTTTACGAGTTACTATTGAACCATTTGCAAGTAAAAAGTTTCTGGTTAACATTGGGTGAGCTAGTATTTGATGTTCTTGGTTGTGGAGCAAAAGCTGGTGATTGGCTAAATTCTAACATTAGTGTTGTCTATCTTTATTAAACACATAGGGCTGGGTGCCTTAAATCAGTGGTTCTCAAGTCCAGTCCTCGAGGCCCACTGTCCTGCATGTTTTGGATGTTTCCCTGCTCCAACACACCTGATTCAAATGATCAGCTCGTTATCAAGCTCTGTAGTGGCTTAATAACGAGCTGATCATTTGAATCAGGTGTGTTGGAGCAGAGAAACAACCAAAACATGCAGGACAGTGGGCCTCGAGGACTGGACTTGAGAACCACTGCCTTAAATAATCCCCCCTCAGTGCCTTCAGTTGTCTATTAGTTGAGAAAATGGTGAAGAAAAAATAATAGTTTTTTTTTTCTTATAAAACACACCTGGCAGAGATAGTAATAGAAAAACACAGCTGTGAAATGTCACAGCGGTATTGGAGTTATTTTTCACCCTGGGCATGATTCAGAAGAAAACGACTGCCAAGTGAATGTGTTAAGTCTCCCATAAAAACATGGTGAAAATGTATGTTAGTGTGGCTCAACAATGACTCAATCTATCGTCAGCAGTTTCAGCAACATGCCATCCAGGCAGCTTAATCTGGTTTGTTCTTCTCTCACTTTCTCTGACCTCTTGACATACCCACAGCATTCCTGCAACAAAATCCTATTTGTTGATATTGTGACCAAAGCAACGCTCTACTTGTTCAGTTCTTTTGTGTTTTGTTTGTTTGTTAAGACAAAGCTACATTTCATGTGTAGCCAGCCAGTGACTCATCCTGGCACATGCAATGGGGCTCTTGTGCCAGCATTGACATACATTATTAGACAACTATCTGTGCCTTCCAATGATGCAGGCACAGCAAGCCCGGACAAAAGCACGCTCTGTTGTGTGATGAAGTCACTCCTGTGTGTGTCAATAGTTCAGAAACGTGCAATGTCACCTTAAACAAGGATGACATTCTCTATCAGTGCACACTAGGGCGATATTTTCCCTGCTGTAGCGTGATAACTTTGCGTCAGACCCATCAGGATCATCAATGTAGGTCACAATAACATTTTTAACAAGGACTGCTCAACCACAGCACTGTGAGTGTGTGTCGAATTCTGCATCTCCTTTTAGAGTTGACAATTACTTGCATGGTTTGACAGTAAAAGAGCAGTAAAATGGGTGAGAAATTAAACATTCATGACTCCACAGACTCAAGTTGAACAAAATCTTGTTACTGTGCATGTGTTATACAGAAGACCTATTAAAATCATTTCTGCCAATTCAGCAGCTGTTTTCATTGACTCTCTTTATAGGTGTTTAAATGAGATGCCTGTCAGTGTTGTTGGGACTTTGAAGGTTTTGGAGTTTTTGAGTGAAATCCAAAAAGCATGGCGTCATCTTTTTTGAGCATCTGTTGTGTTGTTCTCCACAAACAGTGAGATCATTTGAACTTTGGTGTAAAACTAACCATGCATTGTGAAGCAAATTAAACCAGCCTGTTTTCCTTTTTCATTGTGGCATTTGTTATGCATTTAAACACAGTCAATTAACCGAAGCAGTCCTCTGCACACGCTTTTATATGAGAAAGATTTACATCAGTGCTACCAAATAGTGTTATAATGCATTATCCTCTTCCATTCAAAACAAACTGAATACAGATGAGTGTATTACCACCATTCATCTATATCATTTACAATTTTATGCAGCATATTGTATGCATGTGTTTATATATATTTAAAGGTGGGAGTGTTTGGTCTGCACTGATAAAGGGTAAATGAAAGTGCAGCAGAGGACTAGCTCCAAATCCCCATGGGAAAGTGTCACAGTTATTTACAAATGGATTTATTTGTGGTGATAAGCACATTTTAGCTTCTTACATAGGGTCTTAGAGAGAGGTAAAGTTTTCTTTTATCCGCTTTCAAGCTTCAGATCAGATTTACCACATAAGCACAGAATATTGGGAATGAACTCCAGAGTGTCGGCTCATAGTTGCAGGTCCCCGCAGCAGTGAAAATCCATATCAGCCGACTAACATCATACTTTGAACCGCTGTTAAGATAACTATCAAAAGTTTGCTTTTCTCTTTAAACAAGGTTGATTGGATTTACAGAATAGATCTAGATTAAAATCCTGATCTAGACATGGACTGTTCTATATACACAGAAAGTTTTACTTTATTTAATTCAGATACTCACCATCTCAGTTTGTTTTAGTGTATTTTATCGTCACGAAACAGAAGCTGGTGTTTGAATAGATATACTGTAAAAGGACATTACTCATGAACTATTCAAACACTTAGATGTAATTAAGACTAATTACAGTTGCTGTCATCAGTTCATTGGTGTAGAGACATGCCTCTACTTTCAGACAAAAAGTGTGGTGGAAAAGAGAGAACCTGACCTCTGCTCTGGTGAATGGGTTATTATAGTCTGGGGGCCAGTCCTGGGCAGGAAACAGCCCTAAATCAAACTATTCAATAAGTATGACCAGAGCAACGGCCTGAAGAACGATTGCAGGGACACTGGACGAAGACAAAAAAGAGCAAGTTATGAAACCATGACCTTAATCTGCTCATTGTATTTGTGCTATACAGAAGAAAGACACTCACCCAGCCCAACCTGTACTGGCGCCCTTCAAACACGTTTGAACACACAATGGTCAGCAGGAATGTTCTCTCATCTGTGATCCACATGACCTAAAAACAAAACCAAGTGAGCCAGAGATTAGAGGGAGAGGAACATGCAACATGTGAACGAATATAGGTCAGGTGATTGAAATGTCACATGCCATAACTTGGAGTGGAAGGGCAAAAGTTTATCCGGAGATCCAGTTTTGATCCGTGCTGCCCATTATGGGCATGTTTTCTACCCAGGTATGTAGCTCCATGCCACTACTCTTACTTCCTTTCACATCACTGTAACCTGAAAGAAAACAACATATTTGACATAAAAAGAAAAAATAAACCCATACAGTTTTTTTTAAGTTTTATTTTAGCAGAAAAAAAGGCATTAACACTCATAAAATCACAACTTATCTTCTTAATCAGTTAAATATCTATTTAAAGAAATTACATAATGCTTTGTGAAACTGAAACTATCAACTGTGGGCAGAGCCAAAGTAGGTTTTCCCCTGCTGTTCATGCTCAACCAAACTGGCATCATCACTCATCTTTCGCATTTAAAAGTCACAGCAGCATCAATCTTCCCATGTATGGAAAGATGTAGAGAGATGAGCTCAACATCATCAGATGTGGCAAGCTTAAAACTTGAGTCACTGTTGATAAATTAGAAAAGATGAACTATCAGGCACAAAAGTACACCTAGCTAACATAATGGTAGCTAGCTGGATGTTTAGATTCACTTTTGTCAATCTGTGGCCAATGGGATGTTAAAAACCTTTTCTCCTTTGAAACAAGACCCGCTAGATTTTCCTTCGCTGGTTCTTAGTAGCTAATTGACTTAAAAAGAGGTCAAACAATAAAGACTGCCAGGTTCAATTCTTTTAGGAGTAAGGTAGAGCCATATATTCAGGGTTTTCTCAGAAGAAAGTGGCTGCCACAAAGATGTATTAAACTGTCCTTGAGAAGTATGAATTAGGATTAAACAGACAAGATTGGCCTTTCCAGTTTAATTCTGCTAAATTTGTCTTAAACACTTGACTCTGATGTGTCAAAACCCATTAGCGCCTTCAAACTCAAGGGGACTTATTTTTATCGGTAAATTTATCTTTACATTATTAAGTCACGCTGGTTTGTTTATGTCTTTCATTGGTTGCAGGATATAAAGCAGAAAACATTTTCTTAGGAAGTGGTTAAAGAGGGTGATGGGTTGGACAAGACCTCTCTGTCAAGATTTTGCTCACCCTGTTGGAATTGTGATCCACATAAACACCTGCTCACCATACATAAAATGAGCTGGGTGAGCTCTTTAGTCCCTGCTTACGGTCTTAAACTAAATATCACCCAACTCTAGCATACAGACATGACAGTAGTTTGATCTTCACATATGTATTAGAAATTGACATTGCAGAAAATAAAAGTGTATTTCTAAAGCTTGAATATGAACCTAAAATGTATTTTTGTTTACTTCTATGTTAGCAGCATTGTGGTTGCGGCACGTGAGACAGAAAAGTGATTTACTCCATGTTTGTTTGAGAACTAGCACCATGTCCTCCAGTATCCCAGTATCTTCTGTGGGGAGATGATATCTGGTCCAGAGTCAGAGGCTCCTCCTTAAGCAGACACAGGAAACAGCTGGGCCCTATGCCAGCGCAGCACTACCTCGACATTATGAGGGAGTTAACCCACTCTGTAGTGGCTGACTGGCGCTTTGACAGCTCAGAGGAAATGACTCTGAAGAAGGCTGGTGATCCTTCCTGTCCAACTGGCCCACAAGCCCCTGTGGCCGTAGAAGAGTGATCGTGTTTGTGTTGTCAGTGGGCCAGAATAGCTTTCTCTCAGGAAACTCTGTGAAATATGCACAGTCAGACCTGAATAGTGCTTTGTGAGGACTACACTGCAGCTGAAGCAGCACCAGGAAGAGCCGGGAGGATTTCAAATCATTCCTCAATTGAATCTTATCGCGGTGATATAACACAGGAAATAAGTGGAATTTCCAGCAGGTGAAATATAATAATCTAGCGCTGAGGTCTCAGTCATGGGCTTGATTTGCTTCAAATTATCCCTGATTTAACTGCTGTAATACACCATCTGCAGCTTTCTGATATTTTAACAGGCCACTGGCTATTTAGGGCACAGGTTCTGGTAATTCAGTTTTTGCTTAAGTCTGTTAATAAATCACATCTGAAACTATTCTTTTCCTGTATTCAACCACCTCAATGAAGTCCAGGAGGAAAAAAACACTCAAAAATATTTCCTCTATCATGTACCGGCCAAAGAAGTAAAACCTTGACCTTGTTTGACTCTTGCTCAGACAAAACCTTGTCCTCAGGGGATGCAAGTTGCCTTTGTGTTTTCCAATTCCAAGGTTGTTTTTACCGCTTGGCCAATCATTTCCTCTGTTTTAATGCATGACAAACACTTTGAACCCGCTCCCCTGTGGCTCCTCTTATTTTGACCCTCAGCTTAGACCAACAAAGAGCTCAACACCTGCCATGTGTATCATGTAATACCGCTTACTGTGTTTGCACATACAATTGCTCCATTCATCCTTTTATTTAGATATATTAAACTAAAACTAATTTTATTCAAGTAAGACTAATAACAACAAGACATTGCTTTACAGAAAAAGTAACATAAGAGGTTGAGCTTAAGTTGAGTGAATCACTTGTTTGCAAAGAGTTTTTTAAGCATGGATTTTGCCCCTCAGCCAGTGGATCCAATAATCTGTTATTATCACACCATACAGAGTCACATATTGCATTTCAGTGTTACAAAATACCCGATAGATGAATTCAATCAAGGTCTAATGTATTTGCTCTGTCCTCTAGTATCAGGTTGCCAACCACAATCCTGGGATGCCCTGAACACAACAATCAGTCACTTTAGTATGAGTGATGAATCACAAAGTTCATACAGTAGCTCTTTATCCTTACCAACAGGGTAGTAGAGCAAAATCTTACCTCATCTACAAAGACTGATTATAGCTGTATTCTGTATACAATTGGAAAGAATCAATCAGAAATTAATTTTATCAGAAAAATGTTATGTACACGATTTTAATTATACCAGAGTACAGAGAGAGTCAAGACATTTGATAATCACAGAGAATATATTTTCTTCAAATATCTTTTCTTCAAAAACTAAATAAAAAAAGTTAAAATGGCTTAAAAATACCTGCACCTGCAACTGATTTAATAAAACAAATAAAATAAGATTTAAAAATAATAAACATAGTACTAAGTGTACTAAGTGTTCTCCTGTTGTAGTGACCCAGATATCTCAGTTAATGATACCTGTTTTTTTGTTTGGTTTTTTTGTGGTGTGGGTCTCAAAGCAGTCAAAAGAAGATGGGTGAGGCTCGAGTGCAGCCACATTTTGCATGTGCACAAAAACTACCAGTGCAGGGAGTGTTGCGTGTGAAGATTGTTGAGTCTGCGGAGGTAGACAGTCTCTGTCTAGTTCAGACGTTATGCAACACAGGCTTGGTCACACCACATGCTACTTTCTGATTGGCTTAATGGGATTGACTGACTTTAATGCCCCTCCCCCATTGAAAGAGCTTCTGTCTGGTTTCTGACTGCGAGTGCGGCTGTTTTGAATGAATGAATGAACTTCATTTTAGAACAGAGAAACATCTTTCCAAAGGGCTACTTCTTAAAGACTGCAGAAACTCAACACAAAGGAGACATGTTAGGAAAATAAAACGATTTAACTGTTGTGTGAGGAAGTGAACAGAGTGAACTTAGGGAAGAGAAAAGAAGAAGAACATTAAGCTAAATCTGACCACTTCTGGTTTCAGTAGTGAAATCAAATACAGGAGTATATTGTGCTTCTTGAGCGTGACAAGTCCATAATGAAATCTCTGGCTTACATAAGTCTCTGAATTCCACTTCGGTCTGCTGTGAAACACATGGGAGTGATATTCTTTTGCTGTTCTAGCCTGTCTTTGAATATAAGACCAAATATAGAGTGACAAGGGGGAAGCAGAAAGTCTCTACATAGCCCCCACACTGGCTTCAGCTTATGAACAACATAGACCACCAGAAAAAAAGCATCTGCACCGGCTATTTCATGGTGCATTTGCTTTGACCAGGCAACAGGCAAGACTAACAGGCAGGGAAAATGTTCGTCTGTGATGCAGACACAATGTTCCTAAGACGACTTTGCATGAATTTGATGTTTTTTTCACACACAGTTTCTCACATTAACGTGACATTCAATTCTACCTTCCAATTTCTATCCCTTTTACCAAGATAAGGCAGAGTTCAGGTTTTTTTCTAGAGGTGTTACACTAACCTCATATTTGTCATGCGCTGAGATGAGTCTTGTACTTTGGCACCTGCTCATGCATGTGGGTTTTTCTACTTCTTACCAAAACCACAAGCGTTACATAACCCAACAGTATCTGTGTCAGCTGTTTACTCCACTTTGCACTTCCAGATATGTTTTATCATTGTGTGATATCAAAAAACCTCTTATCAGTTCTGCTGACAGGGCGCCAGAAGCAGAAACAGATGTGACCCAAATGGACGTCTCCTTAAAAATAACCCCCTGTCCTTGAAGTGGACATTGTGGTGTTTTATTAGCTAGATTCTCCTGAATCAGCAAAACAAAATCAGGTGAAACTTGGATGATTAGACTGTGAGGTTCAGAGGGGAGTTCTTCTAAAACAAACACAACAACGGTCATCAGGGCAGCTACCTGATGCCAAACTTAGCAGTACATGATAAAGCCTGAGGGCAGAGACCTGACTGGCATCACTCCCTGTACTGCTTGCCTGTGCTCGCAAGGCTGGGTTCTCAGTAATGTTTAAAAGTTGCATCATTTATTGTATTGATTTTCAATGTTGAAGAGTTATGGGGTCACTGAGCCTGCAGTGGATCATGCTTTATTTGTCTGCTGTTCATGATCAATATTTCAGACTTTAAAAAGCCTGTCCTGTCAAGACCTTACATAAATCATATGACACATGCAATCCAGGTACTTGTTTAATTCTTCTTTTTCTTTATTTTTATCTATTTGTTTGGTGTATATTTTGCTATAGCATGCCATTTATTTAAAACTAGTTCACTGAGTGTCATTTTAAGCATTTTGAAGTCAATGTTGGAGTCTCTATGAGAACGACCACAGAACGACTCTGTGTATGCATTATGAGTGTTTGCTTTGTTTCTTTTCATCACTACATCTAGAGGTAGCTTATCTAATATACCAAAGCCCACAAAGTGAAGACTGATACAAGAGCAGACATGGCGAGAACTTAGTGAAGCTGTGAGAGTAGAATTACTGGAATAAGACACAGAGAGTTTACTTTTTTTTTTAATCTATAGAATAAATGGGTGTTCGGCCAAATTAAGATGCATCATTTCATTAGAAGTGACTTTTTTGGCTGAGTTTTCAAATATTTACTTTATCATTAATCAACAACGCATCATAGATTATTCATAAATAAGGCCTCAAAAAGCAAATTTTAGTGTTGTCCATATGTAGTTTATCAGCCAAGGGTTTTAACATATTAAATGCTGTTCATGAACAATATTTCAGACTTTAAAAAGCCTGTCCTGTCAAGACCTTACATAAATCATATGACACATGCAATCCAGGTACTTGTTTAATTCTTCTTTTTCTTTATTTTTTATCTATTTGTTTGGTGTATATTTTGCTATAGCATGCCATTTATTTAAAACTAGTTCACTGAGTGTCATTTTAAGCATTTTGAATTCAATGGTGAAAAATCTCAAAAAGGAGGAATTCTCTCGACATTTTTCTTTTGCGGCCTGGAGTGACCATTTTGACAGTTTTTCCCAAGCTTTACAGTTAAAAATTCAAATAATCTTTCCTGCTTGCTGAAGCAGCATTTTGGCAGACCCAAAGACATTGAATAAGAGTTCTAGGCTAAAAGGCCAAATAGTTATGCAGAAAAGCAAACAGCCTGACTGACTGCTACAAAGACGCGTCTGTATCCAGCCCACTCCCTGAATGCACACTGAGCACTGGAACACTAAACAGCTCGCAGGCAGCTTATACCATATGTCATATATCACACACGATAAATCATGTTCCGTACATTCTCCCACTCAGCTGTCACTTTAATGCCCCCTGGTTGGAGTGCTTTAATTCATTGGTTAGCTGTAAGGTCGTCTCTGTGGCTTTATTTACGAGGTGTCGGTACAATTCATACTTCACATCGTGTTATCAGACAGCAAAAAGAAAAAGCAAGGGCTTAGGGACTGGAGCAAGTGAAACAGTGGGCGTAAAGAGGAGCAGGGAAAGGGTGTGTGTGCAAATGTATGCATTTTCGTTTGACTCCAATGTCACTGTTCTGTGTGAAGTCAATGTTGGAGTCTCTATGAGAACGACCACAGAACGACTCTGTGTATGCATTATGAATGTTTGCTTTGTTTCTTTTCATCACTACATCTAGAGGTAGCTTATCTAACATACCAAAGCCCGCAAAGTGAAGACTGATACAAGAGCAGACATGGCGAGAACTTAGTGAAGCTGTGAGAGTAGAATTACTTGAATAAGACACAGAGAGTTTTCCTTTTTTTTATCTATAGAATAAATGGGTGTTCGGCCAAACTAAGATGTATCATTTCATTAGAAGTGACTTTTTTGGCTGAGTTTTCAAATATTTAATTTATCATTAATCAACAACGCATCATAGATTATTCATAAATAAGGCCTCAAAAAGGACATTTTAGTGTTGTCCTTATGTAGTTTATCAGCCAAGGGTTTTAACATATTAAATGCTGCTTTATTACAGATTGAACGACCTTTAGCATGTCACCAAAGATTTTTTACATAACAAGAAATCTTTAAAGCATAAGGACATTTCTAACTGTGGGAAAAAAAGAAACCTTATAAAGATTCAAAATTTGAAAAATAAAAGTGGAAATAATTATCAGTAATGTTAAAGTCAGTTATACTACTACATGATATGAAGAAATAATCCGTAAAAATAATTAGTTTGAAGTTTGAAGAAGTCTAAGGTGCACAGGAAAGTAGATAGTGGTCCTGAGATATAAGCAATACTGTTTTGAGGAACAATTAAAAATCAATAAATAAATAAATCAAACAAATTAATAAAATAAAATAAATATATAGATATTTAGCTATGAACATGTTACAAAACTGTTATTTGCTGCAACAGTTAGACTGACATGGATTAACCAGAAACATAGAACTGGTTGTGCAGACATCATCGTAAAACCTGAACTAACATCATAATCATGTCAGTTTACAGTTTGACTGTTACTGTATGTAATAGCTTCCTTAAACTCACTCTAAAGGTCTTCAAACAGGCTGTTTGTTGTGGCAGACAGACAACCTGACAGACATCACTGCAGGGTTATGTCAGGGAGATGTTCTCTTCACCACTGTAGAGTTCATCTTTATGAGATGTATAATGAGGAGGAATGTGCCTTGGGGGTTTATCTTACACATTTATGTAACACTTGCATGAAGCCTTTAGCGTCTACACATACGTCAGATGTGTATTCTTCTTTTTCTTTTTTTTTTCAGTTTCATAAGCTTTTTGAGTTTCATAAGTGGAGTCTTCCTTGCAGCACTTTTTGCTGCATAACATATTTTTTGTGAAAATACCCAAAATTTTCAGTAGAGTTGAGACTTTGAGTAAAGATCCACCATCATCTAGGTGCTTGTGCTTGACTGATGGAAGCTTATTGCATGGCCTTCAGTGGCCAGCACAACCCAAACCACATTGCTACCTTAAACAAACCCATGCTCCATTAATGCGAGCTTCAGTTACCGACAGTGCCAACACTACCGCTCTACTACTTATGGTTTCCACACCTCACTCTGGATATGGATACACACGGAGAGCCAGTACATCACTGGATAGTTATCTGGCAAGTTATCAAGTGGGCCCCACCCTGCACCACCAAGTTAGGCCTGTGATATCTTTAAGAGGGTGGACAGCAAGCTCCAGCATCCTGTAACCAACTCCCATCACGCCACCATGCTAATACCAACTCATCACACTGTTGTATAACCTTCCTCCTGTGTTAGCTTTTACTACGCACCTACCATGTTAAGGGTCGGTTTTGATCCGGTTTTGACCTCATCTCTAGGTAACCTTGTTAGGCTTCATTATTCATGAAAACATTGTTTGTAATATATTTGAAGTGAGCCTCTGGGCCTTTCTTTGTTAGTATACCCCTCATACAGACATCTATACTGAATTGGTCTCACATGTCTGGACATGCCTGACGTTGTTTTTTGTGCAGGGAAAAACATGGCAAAATGAGAATTTCATAAATCTCCCATGATTGGAAGAGGATCTAACTGTCAGTGTGGTGCCTGACAGTGAACTTATGATTTCAGTTTTTGCTCTAATTATTAGATATTAATCTAACCGGGTCAACAGCGACCCTAACACGACAAGTGCCATCATTTTAAGAAGAGCATTTTATAATTTAGTCAATTTAATTTTAATTTTTATTTATTTATTTATTTTTTAATAGAGGTTCCTGACAAAGTCAAAAAGTCTTGATGCAAAAAAGCTAATTTAAGTGGTTATTTTAAAGATTTTAAATCAAAAACTGGTCGGTGCAGACCCAAACACAGGAGGAGGGATAAAGAAAGAAAATAATAGAAAAATATAGTGCAGTGTAGAGGTGTTTTAAACAGGGCAGGGAAGGAAGGATCTAGGGCAAGACGCCAGCTTGGATCGGAAATCAGCCACACCAGGTTAAGGTGCACACTCTACCTCCCCAGAGAGTAGAGTGCGATTAAATATGTAAGAGAGAAGACAGGAAAGAAAGGCCAAAAGAAGAAGCCTGTTTGGACTGGAGATCACCCTATCTAGAGAAGGCTATACTCTCTACCTCTCCCACTTTAAGAAGGATAGGGAACCAAAGAAACAGAAAAAGGGTCTGCAGAGAGCTGTTACAAAGAGGACAGGGAAGGAGAAGCATGAGGAGCAGCCTTTTTGGACCAGAGCTCATCCCTGCTGTGTTGGGATGTATAGAGTGTTTAGAATATGATCCCTATGTTGCTGACCTGTTTGTATAAATAACTGTTGCATAAGTCTCCGCATGAACCCACTGGAGAATGTGAACCAGCAGAGCTATGTTTGTTTGGCTGCATGTGTGTATGTATGTTTTGAAGGCACTCTCAGTCTATTCTTAATATTTGCTTCAGTGTTCCAGCGCTCCCCCCACGTTTTTTCCCCATGCCATCACACTAACGCTGGCTTCCCTCTAATCTGCGGAGCCATACGACGGGGTAGCACGGTTGAATCCAGGCCAAGTTATGTTCATACTCCTAACCTTATCTTCTGCAACTGTGGCTCCACTGAAGCAAAGAATTAGATCACAATGTTCAGCACCTTTTTCAGCGCAGTCTGGGAGGATAAGGGATGACCACAACAACAGCTAAATAGGCAACAATGCAGAATGAAGTCATTATGTGGAGTTTTATCGCATATTGTGGCTGATTCTGTGCATTCCCTCTGAATAAAACAACATCCCTTTTGTGGTTTTCTTTCCAAAAAGAACATTTGGTCCAAAAAATGACCCTTTAGCAATTTTACATTACTACAGAATCCTCATGGAGTCTTTGGGTTCAATCTTTGACACACTGACAGGCTTTAATTTGACAAAGCAAAGCTGTGTATTCTGATATTTACAGTATGCACAATATGCGCTCCTTGCGTGAGGATCAATGTCTGCAGCCTAAGGACTTGTCTGTCTCATTACACCTCACATACCACTTTGCTAATACCTTGGCTCGGTCTGGCTTTATCTCCCGCTCTCTCTTTTTTCTCACTTTTTCTCAGCCTGTCAGTCTCAGTATGAGCAGCTGGGAATGCTGTTTGCTGATGTGCCTGTTTTGCAAGTCGACACCCTGCGGCGTCAAAGATCGCCAGCACCACTTGATGACAAATGATATACAGATCTGAAGAAGCTGTGGACGTGCACAAGTTTATGACTAATGTAGCACACTGATGGTCCACATTTCTTCTGACGGATTAAAATATGATCATCTGCTGCTCCGACAGCTGATGGGTATTTAATTGGATATTTTATTTATAGACATATTTGTGTTGTTGCTTCCATGAAGGGTTGTTATTTGAAAGATGTTTTGGTTTGATTATTATTTCAGGGGGGAGGATAGATCAGTGTAGATGGAAAATTATCCACTGACGCTTTAAATAAAAGAATTTATTTCCTTTCCTAATATAATTTCCCTTTCCATAATAATAATTTCCTAATATACTCTCTAAGTTGTTACACTGTTTTTCTGTAACATCATTAGCCCGATTTTAAAAGTGCGAAAGTTTACATAACAATTTGACTTTTAAAAGAACGCATAACTCAAGTGTTTTTGTTACACAAGGATTTTTCATGTATACAAGAGATAAAGAAAGTATTTTAACTTTGACAGGTTTAGCTCAACAATGTAACTTGTTTCACCTATGTAATTTTCACTTTGCCTGCAGCTTTCCGCAGGTACATAGACGTGTCACTTTATCAGGGTCAAAGAGTTAAAGGCGCGTTTACATGTTCTCCACTGCTCGGGGTTGAGGTTCAGGATGTATGTTAATAGTGTGTCTGGCAGTAAAACGTGTTATGCAATAATGCAAAGTGTGAACTGCTCTGCTGACACACCTGTGTGAACTCCAAGTATATGACACGGTCATTGAATTGCACACTGACTTTTTCGTTATATAAAAAAAAGACATTTTAAAATGAGTGTATAACAGCCTGGTTATATAATTGTTTTGTTTTGTTTTTGTTGACTCATTAACACCACTACATCTTGACCAAAGCATAGAACAGACAATCCAGTTGGCCGACAAAAGATAAGAAGACAGTGGTTGGTAAGTTCAAAAGAGTTTGATATTCATGGTAAAATATTTTACAAATAGACAATCATACTTAGCATACATCCACTTCCACCATCTCAAATCTGACTGCTGGAGTAATTTTTCCATTTCAACTCACCGTACCTTTAATCACCTGAAAAGTTATAAGATATAAAGTTACTCATCAGCAGCATTGCCACTTTAAAGCTCTCATAATGTGTAATTCTTCTTCTTTTTAATGTCACATAAATAGTAGTGACGCTTTATCCTTAAATGACATTATAGTTAATGATCCTCTCACATATTCACTCATTAATAAACAGCTGCTGTAAATCAATCTCATATCATATCACAGACAAAAGTTCAGCTAAGGTCAGTTTTGTCTCCCTTGTTGTGAGGGAAGAAACAGCACCCATGGGCCTCAGTGCTGGAAATGTTGAAAGTCCGTGAAGACTCGTCAGTGTTCAGAGTTACAAAAATAGCTCCAAGGCACAGTTACACAGTCAGCACTCTTCAGTTATCCTCCAGGGAAACATAACTGTCAGAGTGTTTGGCCTCCATGATCGATTAGTAACCGTAATTGAGAGTGTTTCAATGTAAAAAACTAAACAATAGAAAAACTTGATTTCTTCTCATGCATTAAAACATTATCCATACATGACGTGTTTGCCATAACATCTAAAAATCACAACATATATAACTCAGATCAGGACTATCTTGATATTTCCAGTTACATAAATCTTCACATGGCTGCTACACTCAATCGTACTCAGATCTTAGCTCTTAGGCCTGAGGGCAAAATAAGGACAAGAAGATAAGTGGTCCATTGAAATCAAGAAAACACGCCGGTAGATCATTCCTGGTTCAACATAAAGGTCCTAACGAGTGTGTTGTCAAAGCAGCATCTGGGAGAAATAACACTGGGAATGCAAAAAAACAAGGTAACGAAAAAATCAGCAGGGGTGGCCAATCTTGTAATTTGAAAGAAACATGATCACTGCCAATGCACCAACATAAAGATTTGGCCCACTTGCCAACAGTTCACTCTGATCCTCAATCGTTGCTCACAGCTGGGGACAGGTTCAACGGCTATAAAGCAGCCCTCATAAAGTTCACAACCCCGGGAAACCACAGGAAGGCAATAAAGCATCAGAGAACACGTTGTTCTGCCATCCTAAAGGAGCTCGACGAGGAGGGCTACCCATGTTGAGGCAGGACCGGACAGGTGTGAAACCTGTCTACTTTCTACTGCAATTATAACTTAATTATATATGTTTGATACTTGATTAGAATGATGTGTGCCAGGTTTTTACGATTCTGAGAGGGTGTAAACTGAAAACGATTTATTATTCCTCTGTAGGGCAACATCTGGTGAGAAAAACTGGAATGTAATTGACTATCTTTTCTCTTACGTAATAAATTCAATTTTATTAAATGATTCCTTTAATCAAACCCGCTCATCTTTCCAAATATTCATTCCACAACTGTTTGTGGGGAGGCCAGAGTTGGTGTTACATAAAGTTTTAGCATCACCTGTTATTCAAGTGTTCTTCGCATTCACTCACAAACTGTCAGCCCATTCAACACGTCCCAGAAAGGCCAGAAAAGTTATCATTTTGTTGATACACTCAGTCAGTGCCCAAACACAAGCTGCCATTGGTTGGTTGGATTTGGACATTTTTAGGCTGTGATTGGCTGGAAAGCACTAGGGAAACAGGACCACTGCTGAGTCAGCTTGTTTTTATTTCTTTTGTGAATTTCCAAGAAATCAGTGTGGAAACTCTCAAGTGCTCACAAGACCGTTGTCTAAGAGGACACTTCTGAGCACAGTCAAAGCACGGGGAAGATCATGTGACACATTCGGCACATCCCCTAAAGCTGTTTTCTTATCAAACATCAGAAAAAAATCTCGTGAAAATCCTGGCTTACACATGATTTCCTCTTTCTCTCTCTCTCTCACACACACAGGGAAATATGTGACTATGATAAAGATCAATGACAATGCCAGTGTCCAACCCTTTAATTCTCAAATGGCGCAATGATTTATAGTGTTTCTAAACACCACAGCCTGAGACAAATTATTTTCCAGACGTAAGCAGACGTTAACTAGAATGGGAATCTTTCTATGACTGTTGATTTCGTCACAGCCACACCACATTTTTTTCCAGACTGAAGGACGGCTGAAGCATCAAAACATGAGGATGAACCATGAAGAGGCCAGACGCTTCATTTTGGACGGGGCTTTTTCGGATCAGTATGAGACCTGTCCCATCTTAGGTTTTGTCTTCTGTCAGTCTTTGCTTCAGAGGACAAAGACACCTTTGACCCTTTGTAATAATGACTTTCCTTTACTGTATTGATACTAAACTAACTGTACTAACTATCTAACTAACCTAGGACTTCCATTGCATCCAGAATGGTGCCGACCCAGAACGACTGCTTTTTTGCCGTACGCCAAATCCTACCAGATCCGTATGTGAAGGGAATTTCTTGGTGGATTACAGAGAACAGGAATTGCCAGAACTCACAAAAACCCGTGGATTCTCATGCAGTCGCGCAATAGCAAGTTGTCTTTAGCCACATAGGCTAACCATATAAGCAGCAGATTGTGTCCTTTCAGAGGAGAAAATTAGCAGTGATCACCTGCGGAGTCTGGCGATCCGCAACGGAACGGAAAGAAGCTGGTGAAAATTGACACATTAACTTGAACGGTAACGATGATACAGACTTTTTTGTAGCCGTTCCGGATGCGGTTGAATTTGGGGGTAACTCTGTACATAAATAAATGATGATGATGATGGTGTTATATATGAATTGAAGACCTTACTGAAGGAGATACCAAGCATTGTTTTAGGGACTACTGTTCTGCTCTTGTCTCGCTCAGAGAAGTCTGTGTTCAGTGGAAGTCTGTGTTTAATGTCCTCTTCCCATTTCTTGTTGAACATCTTAAGCTGACACCGCCTCTGTACTGTCTCCTCTTGGTTTATGGAGAGTTGTTTCCCACTTCAGGCCATAAAGCTTTGTTGTTTCTCTGGAACCAGAGGATCATACTTGGATGAGAAGCTGGATACCAAAGATGTTGAGTTTACTAACTCAAATCAGCCAAATATGGACCTGGCGGACAGCTTGTGCTCTAACCTGTCACACAAAACAGCCTTGAATTATGCCGAACATTAAGCTTCATTACAATTTGAGTGGGTGGACTTTCAAAATAAAAGCACAACCTCAGTTTTCATGGCTGGGCTAACTGGCTGTATAGATCATGTGTAAAACATTCCAATCGCATTGTCTGGGTGTCTTAATCGGAGTTCTCTGACTCCAATCGGCTGGTTGCATTTCACTGACTCCACTCAGAGATATGGAGCTAAGGAGAACTTTTAGCATCCTGGAAAACATCTACAACATTTCTCCTATTAATGCCTTTTATTATGCAAATATATTCATCAAATTATCTCAGTGCCTATATTATGAAAAGACACCTCTGTGTAGTGTTTAGAAGAATAAATGGGCTTCATAACAAAAAGGTGGCCTCATTTCTATTTACTCACTTCTTGATCCACTCCCTGTGGATCTGCATTCTTGTTATTTTGAAAATACCTCATGTACCCATCATGCTGCTTCTACGTGTTTTGTAATTAACCATCAACATTTATTGTCACGTCGTTCTTTACTTGACAAACTAACATTTTCACTGTACACATTAAGAGTGGTGTCTCTCTCTTATGCATGCCACAACAAAACATGTTTTTTTTACTCTGTTATATATCATTTTAAATAGGACAGTCAGAGTGTGATGTTATTATCATCGTGTTTTTCTTCCTAGTACGCCTGCCCTTTTTTCTTGACATGACTTGCAGTTTGGCCACCCAGCCTGCTCCACCCATATCACATAATGAAAAGAGATTTAGCTTGGATTTAGCCTCATTGTGTTCATGTGAAGACAGTTTACAGCACATACACGAGAGGAGCGATCCCACATAAGCCTGCACATGAAACCTATCAAACTTCTCAGTCACAGCTGTTAAGTAATGCCATATAAAAACATTAGAGCTTTATGATCATATGCTATGATCTGAAAGATAATGTCCATGCTGTAAATGACACAAACTCGAATGTTTTGTCATGTGTGTTTGATTGACCCTGAGGTAAAGCCTCTGTGTAACAAAAATACATTCCCAGGGTTTTCTGGAGTTCATCCTCTGCCCTGTTTACATCTTAAACTTCCTGAAACGCTCTGATAGCTCTCTTCACATGAACTGAAACTAGAACACAGGATGGGGGATGTTTACCTCACAGAAGGGCACAGTCACATAAATACACTACAATGAGAGTTGCATAATCCTCTCAGAACCAAATCAAATAACTCTTAAAGCCTGTATTTGTGGTGGAAAGTAATATGACCATAAACAAGCTGCAGTAAACTGTTCCATAAACTGAACACTGTAAAATGCTTTCTTGTCTTAGCACATGTGTGGAGGTTTACCAGATTCTCGGCCACAACCCGCCTTTTAAAGCATTCAGCTCAAAACGTCTTTCATGTGTTGTTATGTTCACTTGCATTCTTATTGCTTGTGTCATATTTAGCCTGCAAGATGTTAATTATAGATCAAGCTGCGGCCTCTCTTTAATTATAGCTGCAAAGCACAGCACTGCACACTCTGCATTTCAGATGAACTTGACCGCCAGCTATGACATCTCTTTATTCATGGAGCTGCAACCAGAGCTCATAAAATTACACAATTTTTCACTAAATCAAGTGCTTTGACAAGAAAACAACAGAAAAACAAACTTATGTAAAACTACAAAGACTGTCTTGTTTTAAAAAGGAGGAAATCGTGGTCGGTTTTATGGCGTTCACGGATTATTTCACAGACATGTTCTCTTCAGTTAGTCATGACTTGCTCCTCTTGTGATGAGTGGCCTCTGTTGTGAAGAAACCCAGTCTGGGAAATGTTAATTTGCAGCGTTGTCCACGTTATGCAACAGTCTCCCCTTTGACCCTACATATGTCACATGTCAAGGTGGGGGTCCTGCAGGGCTTTAAATCCCGTGCAGGGTCCTGCTGTGCAGCGGTGCCATGAGCGGGGCTATCACCGTAAATCTGAAACTAGTGCCTCTGTGACCTTTTGTCTTTTTGAATCCGATGTTCTGACCCGCGTGGCAGCACTCCTGCAGTGGCTTTGATTAGCTGGGACACCAACACAGCTGCTTTATTATGAGGAAAAATAAGAGGCCGAACACCAAAGGCACCAAAATGCTAACAGTATTGGTTTAATTTAGCAGTCTTAAGTGTTCCAGTCGCAGAAAAACAATCAAAACAGGTTGAACCTTTTTATTTCATTTATGTGATCATTACAAAATGCCTCAGTGAAATAAGCCAGCCCATGATTCAGATTACAAAAGATAAACCGTTCAGAGCAAAAGCAAATTCTGAGGAATGGCTTGCTTATTTAGCTGGAGTCACAAATCAAACCAGCCAGTCGGATTAAGGTTGGGGCCTTACATGCATCTGTGTGTGATGCAAATGCCTCTTGTTCCTGAGGCCAAACTGCACATCTGTGGCTGTAGCACAGGTGAGAAACATGTTCTCAACATCATAAAGGAACTGGAGAGCTGCCAAGACTAGACAGTAAATTAATCTGTACTTACATAACTGTAGAAGTACTAAAGATTTGAACACTGAAGCTCGTTCACACCAACTAAAACATAAATTACTGTATTTATGAGTTTTTTTTGACCGTCTGTTCTAAAGAGTCTCTGAGTAAGACTCGTTTTATGACTTGTCAACAATAAAAAAAGTGATATACAGAAGTTTTCATGTGAGGAAGTTGTGTTAAGTACAGTCAGTCTGAGGCTGGTTAGTAGTTTCCTTCTGAGTGGGTGCATTCGTGGCCCATTTTTCATCTTACATAACAATTTGTCATCAAAGAATTGTTACTCTTCAGAACTGCCTTTTATGGCAAAGTCGGTGCAAAACAGCAGAAGAAGAGTACTGCAGAAAGCAGAAATCTGACATTGGTTTGAAGCTGCTCTCTCTTTCATCTCAATATGATGAATATGCTGACATTCAGAGGACACACAAGCTGTATATGTCTGCATGGAAAAGAAGTCGCTGAAAATGATTCCCCTGCATGCGAACCCGACCGCACTGTGGTGAAGCTCGGCATATCCCGGCACAACCCTTGAATTTCCATCTGAACCAGATGTTCCTTTTTTTTTCTCATTGCATAACACGTGTGATCCAACACAAACTCGTCTCTTGGCTGTGTGGTCTCAGTTCAAGATTTGATTCTTAACCTAAGGCTCTTCCCACACTCTTCAATATTTAACTCTGCTTAATGGGATGGTGATGTGGAATCACTAATGCTTTGACTCACTTCTTGGGAGGTTATTTAGACAAACCGGCGGAAGTGAGAATTGGTTACAGTTCCTTATTCATTAACAAAGGAATAGATGTGGACACATCCCACACACTTTTAGGTGAGCTTTTAAACAGGAAGAAAATCAATGTTTGATGTTTGAAATGAAAACAGGGCTTGTGTAACCGAGATATTCTGAGTTTCATATAAGGAAACAGATGAAATTTGAAGTGGGTCTTTTGACATTTATCACATACAAATGTGTTTAGAGATGGGACGAGTATCATACAAACAATATATGAACTCAGAAAAAAAGGGATTTTAGAGGTTGCGGAAAACAAAAAGTCACAAACCGACCTGCTTAAAAAGTCTTATGAGGGCAAAAAAACATCTCTGGATTTTGGAGTGTTTTTCCGATTTGGCTTTGGTGACGGAAGAAGGAAAGTTTCAAATAAAAAAAAGTTACATCCACTAAAGAGAACATCCGAGAACACAATGTTACCATCACAAAATCCCAAATATAGACTCTAAATCCTGAAACCACATGCTCGAGTTATTCAGCTATCTGAATCAAGGTAGGATGAGTGACTCTGATTATCTTGCACCAAAGAGCTAATACATGCCTGTGGCTCCCTTTATAGCTAAACAAATGTCTTCCTCACTCAATACTCTACACATCCTGCCTTCCTCTAATTAAATACAGCATGCATTTCACAGCAGCCGTATTGATCAGGACCATAAGATAGAAACAGTCTCTTTGACTCAAAACACCAAGATAGACCACGGTTTCTTCTTTCAAAGAGGGCAGCAGGGAAGACTCTGTTTACTTTTGTGCTATTTGATCTGCCGTGGTGACTCGGAGTCTCTGATACATGGATGTGAGCCGAGTCTACACACCAGGGAAGCCACAACAGATCCAGTTACACACAAGCCGCACGCACTGGCTGCCAATCCGTCTGAAGGGAAACGCAGAGAGGACAAACTGTTTTCTCACTCCAGCAGATTCCAATCCAATAGCAACCAGCTATCATTACTTCACTATCATTAGTGGTCTCCCTGTTTTTGACTTCAGGAAAAAGCGTGTGCTCTTTTTTTTAATATTCCACTTTTTCCTATGTATAAGGAGCCAACATGCTCTCTTTCTAAAAGTACCTTTCGTGTGAACCCCGTAGCTAACATTGTCTTGAATTTTTCAGATCACATGGTGCTTGTCTGACCTTGTAAACAAAAACACGGCTAACAGAGCGAAACAGAAATCAGCGTGTAGTCAAAGAATTGATGTTGTGATGGATTTGGTTCCAAGAACTTCCAAGAATGCAAGGAAATTTTAACAAACAGACTGCTTTTTGTTTACTCTGACATCCAAATAAAAGAGTTTCACTGTCTGTTTTTCCCCCTTATTACAGAACCATAAAATGGAATAGTCATGGGTGTTGTTACAGCTGTCGGGTCTTTCTCGCACAAAATTTAATTTGACCAAATCGGCCCATTGTGCTGAATATATAACCTGCAAAACACTGCCACGAGGAAACAGTTACAGAGATCCAGTCTGGATCTGTGTCATTTCTCTTACTACCATATTAATTTGCGTACGACAGATTACCAAACATTCATGTCACTCACTTACAGAACTTTTCTAGATACTGAGAGTAAAAGTCCTATGATAGCGTAAAACCTAAATCGTAGATAATAAACGAGCGATTAATCATTTAAGACTACGTCAACAGATCATGAACAAAAGACACCATGTCAGTGTGTTGTATTCTGTAAACATAAGGTTTATTGCAAATGTGCAGTCGTATCCAAAAACCATAGTGAACAAGGATACATTACAGCAACAATACCGTTATCTTTACAAAAACATAGAAACGTTAGCTCTAGCTACAAACAAGACTTCTCCCTGTGAACTCTTTTACACATGGTCCTGGTTTGCTTGGCTTCAGTTGTTGTGAGAAAATAACAAAAGGCAAAAGTCTTTGGTAGCTAGAGGACAACAACAACAGCTGAGCTCAGTGTGGAAATGTGTTCCTTTCTTTTCATGGACAGGCACTGTTGTCATGCCATTGTTCTTACTACTTGGCATCTGAGCAGGACAATGGACCAGATACTGGAGGGTGATGCTAAAATCAGGAGTGCAACTGCAGCATTAAACGCTGGCTCACCTTCTCCACATTGGACGTTTTATGTACAATTTCGTCATGTTTAACTCTGAGAAAATCTGGCAAACTGGAGGGCGGACATGTTGCCCCTCTTAATTACAAAATAATTCTCTTAAGACCATTGAACAATGCTCCTATTTTTTTACAAACAGCAGATTTTTGTTCAGGATCACTTACAAAAAAACAGAAGATATAGCAGGATTAACTTCCCCCATAAGCAGCAAGCCCCAACAGCAGACAACATGAGATTACATTTTATGAATCATGTCAGTGTACTGATACTGCGGCGGTCCACCAGCTTGAAAAGGCTATACTGCACCGAGCTCGACCTGTTTCTTTAGCTTATCCTGTTGATTATTTGTGTTACGCTTTAATGTACATGAACCATGAGCAATATGTCAAAGATACAGGAAAAGTCCTCGCTATGTGGCTGAAATGTGTCACTGAGAGTCCTTGGAAAAGTTGTATTTGGAGATCGGACAAATCCACATGACGGGGTTTTTCTCATGGCGGACTGTCTCAGATGGGTCTCTTCTGAGTGATCCACCCTGCACTCCTAGGCAGCACCTGCAGGGCGAGCCCAATCAACATCCCCTCACACCCCTCTCTTGAGTGAAAGGGTGGCTGTTGGAAGATTTAAGCATGTCTTAAAGCAAGCGCTCGTCGGTGTCTTTATCGGCCCGCTCTCTATTCTCAGCGCTCTTGTCTACACAGAGACTACGACTAAGAGTTGGACGGTGTCTGAGGACGGGCCTGACACCACACCAGTCAGAGCGTCTATAAGTTCTGTTTTGTGCTCATCAGTGTCAACAGTTCTTTTTGTGTCCCATCAATCATTTACAGCCGCAATCTTCACCTTCAGTGTTGAAGGTTTTTGGCGGCGACATTTGTAACGCTTGCGTTCAAACTGGAGGTCCATTACTGGTAGGAGACAGTGGCTCTGCCCGCCCCAAGGCAGAGCCACTTATACAGCAGAGCCTGTGCTGTGGATGCAGCTCTGGTGCTGGTCCTGGGTCAGCTGGGAGCTCTGATTGTCCAGCACGTCCGCTGGTATGCGAGACTGGAACTTTTCTAGCTGCTCAGGACTAGCCAGGTTTTTCAGCAGGTAGTTCTCCCTCTCCAGCTGGTTGTTTTTCTCCGCCAGCTCCTTGATCTGCTCTTTGAGGATCTCCACCTCCTCACGCACTGCGTACATAAGGTGATTCTTCACCAGGTCCTGTGAAAGCAAAGAAAGAGAGAGGGGTCAGGTAAGATGTGGAGTCTCTTCTACTGGTTGACTAGTTGTGTGTGCTGGAAGAAAGACTAAACTTCATAGCAAGTTATAGAATATATTAAATTTCAGCTCATTTATGTACCAAGATTCAAGTATTCACTCATAAACTTTCACCAAAGTGGATATTCACTAAATATATCCTGCATAAATTGTGTTTCACTCTGTTCTTTTTTGACTTCCTGTTCATATCTCATTCACTTGTTCTCTTATCACATGCACATAGCAGCACTGTAGCGTGCACTGCGTTTACGTAACAGGGACTTCTGCGATATTCACTCAGAGCTGGTTTTGGGCTGAATGCATGCGCACTACTGTACTTTTGGAGGTCTGTGGTCCCGATCAATTGCATTTGTACTCGTACTTAAAGAGACCATCTTAAGGGTCTCAGTTTGAGAAAATGAAAAGCAACATGGATCCTCTATTACATAGCTAGATACTTTGTTATTTTCATTCTGAACAGTATTCTCCATTGCTGACATTTAGGGAGTATCCAAACATTGATTCTTTAATAATAATTATGTTGTTAAGGTGCCATGCAACTTGTGTGGTTATGACAGTGTAAGGTGTACTGATGTCTTTGTGTTGTGTTTGTTATCAGGGCTTACCATGGCCTGTTCAATCTTGTTGTCGATGGCCACAACGCTAGCACCAGAGGCACTGCAAGACACAAGAAAAATAGGCCATTAATTGACAGTTCAACATCACAAGGGCTGCAAATTTCATCTCAAATCTTATAATCCCAACAAAAGGTACTTTCCAAAATCACAAATCTGTTACACAATAGCAGTGAAACAGAAAGCTTGCAAGAACAGAAAGCAAAACAGTTGACCCAGCTGTTATCTAGTTCTATTTTGTGGTGTGGGCCTATAAACTCAGGGATTACTCTGACAACGAGATTAGAGATTTTTTTTTATGTAGGTTATTGTGTAACGAGCGCATGGGTGTAGGAGGAAATTCCAAGTGTTACAGACACACAGGCAGATAACTGTGCAAAGTCCAAATCAGGCAAAATCAGAGAGAATCATAGCAAAATCTAGTATAAGAAAAAAAAAATACAGATATAGAGCACGGAAGCGTCAAGTTTGAGAGAATAGTGCAATAGCCTATTTGTGGGCCTGCATGAGGCTTTTGACTTCATCTGAATGCAATAAGGATTACTCTGCATTTCAACACATGCTGTCGGTGTCGGATATTTACCTGTTGTCAAGTTTGACCGATACAACGTCCCCTCCGAGTAACGAGGAGAAGAAAGAGATGGAAAAGTTATGCAACTGGTAGACGGCAACCTCCATTGGTGTTTTGGCGAACATCTCCGTGCTCATGTTCAGGATCACACTCGTATGAATTACACTTCTCGCCACGTTTGCGACTGTTTGTTCACCGAGTATAAAATCCGGATTTGTTTCGTCTTGTTCGGTAGCGATGCACTAACGCGGTAGTTGCTTGCGCGAAGTGCTGTGTCGGTCTGTGTTGTTGAAGCTTCGCCGGTTTGAACGAGCGACTGTCTGATGCTATTTCTGCCTTCAGCGGCGTTTTATATGGCCCCACTCTGACGCAATCTGACGCGTGCATAAATTATTCAAATGAGCTAGCGGGTCAGATTCTATGGTGCGTTCATGTGCCCCAGGAAATACTGCAGTTAGCTGAACAAAACATTCAGTTTTACTTTTAACACAACACAGGAATATTACAACAGCACACTTGGTCACGCAGGACACCCGTAATAAACTCGGGAGTGACTACTCGGGAGTAGTTGTTTATTGCTCGTCAAATGTTGGGAAACTGACTTTACAACTTGGTATATTTTGTTGTTGTGTGATGCTTTAGTGCAGAATAAAGATCCGGATAACACATAAAGCCATAAAATATATGCAATAGAATTTACAATCCACTACTATAAAACGCAACACGAGCCTAAATTCACGTTTACAGACTTGCTTTTATGTTTTTTTACTTTTCAAACACTTTAACTTGATTTATTTAACTTAAATGCCCTCTTATATATGTTATCTTCAACCCATTTGTTTGCAAGTTCTCTTCTGATTCAATTATTGGCAGTCATTAATCACATTTATTGGCATTGTTTATATAGTTATATCATTTATTTGTGGGTTTGCTTATTTGTATCTCACTGCCCCTCATCTAATATATCTGTTTTGATTATGATGTGATACCATCCTCTTTTCCTTTGTCTTATCTGTCCTCTTCTGGGAAGCCATCGTCCTTAAAATGCTATTTTTCTAGAGTTTTCTATCCATACAATTAAGTTATTATTATTATAAAATGTGTAAGTCTTTAAGCTGACAAGAACTGTGTGGATATGCTCTCCAAAAGTTACACATTTGATTGACCTTACAACACATTTGCAGTTATTTGATTTATTTTCATTTAAAGGATCCCTGATTGCCAACTAAATGTCAGCAGTTAACTGAAACTATGAGACCTTAACCCAATCTTTAAAAAAGTGAAATGTGGGCAACAATAAGTAGAACAAGTATGCTAAGTGCATTATTGCAAGTAAACAATATACGTAACACATTAACTGGGAGCATTTGAATGCACCATTTTCTGCCCTCTATCTGAACCTCTGCTTCTCTGGCCTTTGCAGCTAACCTACCTAACCTACAGACTGACATCTGTATTCACTGAAACAACCTACATTGAAACCCAGGGAACAAGCGCTACCACAGCAGGTAAACAGAGCTAGTGCTGCTCATTTCCACAGGTGGCTCTTGACAGTTTATAGCATTTCATATGATTTTCATGTGAATCACTGACTTCAATTTTGGACCTTTGAGTTTCACTCTAATATGTTCACTGAGAAAGGCCTGTTCATTCATTGTGAACTTGATTTAACAAGTGTCACCTTTACATATCGGTGAAATCAACAAGCTGTCCCTCATTACTTGATAAGTAATGACAACAGGAGCATAATGTTCCCATCATCTTATTATTGTTTGTTACAGTACATGGTTTGACGGAATGTCCTGCTCCATTCAGATATTCAGAACTATCTACCCAGGTACTTTTCCATGTGCTGTCCCGGTAACTTTCCTTTCTGTTTAGGTGTGAACTCTACCGGCCTCTAGTGGTGAAAATGTAGAATACAGCGCCCCACATGGTGGAGTGTTTATGACAAGGGGGTTTCTTCCCGGAAACAGTCTGCTATGGGATTTTTCCATATGCCCCTTCCTGACGTTATCGTGTATCACTTATAGGTTGTTTTCCCTGTTTTTGGAAACGTATGGAAAAATTTCCAAGGACACTCAGAATGTATGTTATTTTCTTCGACTACATGCCACATGCTGTTGTAGCTTACATGCAATGTTTATGTGCAGGCTGAACAACAACAACAACAAAAGGTAGTCGTGGACATTTCAAGTAAACACAGACTTCATGAAATGTAAGTTACATACTGTGTTGAATAGTTGATTCTGATTGGCTCAAACCCCATAGCCGCACCAGGCAGATTTCACTTCTATCCAATGACACTGTGTCAAAAATCTAAGGCGAGTTTAAGAGTTGGGAAATTATGACTCTTTCTGGGTGTAGACATGAGAACACACTCTCCCTGTCGGGATTCTGATTTGCACAACCACCCAACCACATTATCCTTCATCTATGTGGATCATTAACCAAATATTTACAGAGTATACTTAATATAGACTATGTGTTCACTTCTTGGAGGGAGATACAGGAATCAGTGTGACTCTAAAGCCCTGTTCATTGACCTCTTGCACTTCACATGATCCTCTGAAGTACAGTGTTGAGATGTGACGCAACAGCTCTGGGCCTCCTGCAAAGTGTAATAATTTGCAGTAGAAGTTGAGCTCAGAGGGGGAAAAAAAAGCATATCTGGCGTGTTTTTCCACAACAATCTCCTTGAGCACTGACTGTGGCTTTTATTGAGCAATAGACCTTGTTTACACCAGGGAGTCCATGCACGTTTTAGTAGCTGTAATGTAATTGCTCTGCACCTCTCTGCTGTCGTATTATCATACCTTTGCTGCAGTAATTATGATTCAAAACTGAACTAAATTTCAATCAGAGAGCCTCTGTTGCATCATTTTTCTGCTCAAACACAAAGGACCCGTAGAACAGGCTAGTCAAAATGTTTGTACAATCTCCGAGACAATGGAAGCCATTAAATATTGCCTGTATACATATTATAAATTGATATTTGTTGTTGCAGCCAGGAAGTCCATACATTTCTAAACTAACAATACAGGGGTGGTTTTCTATGCAAAGTACCGACTAGACCCCACAGGAAAAGATGATGTGCATCAAAGTAGATGAAAAAAGGTCCCTAAATTATTTGATCTCTGCATGGTAAGCAAAAGTCTTTTTTTTAGAGAAAAGGAGTCCTGTTATGTAACAAAACAATTAGTGTGGAAAGGCTGACTTTGGGTAGGCCTAACAAGGCCGAGCAGAAAGCACACTGGCTTGGTATTAGGACCCATAGTGCCTGTCGTCTCAGATTTCGTGCAGTGACAGTACAGCTGCCAGGTTTAATATCAGGCCCTGTTCTGGTGATGAGGGGCTGCTGAATTACCTTGTCCCGCTGTGATAGTCCCATTTAGAATTGAGGAGGAGGAAGGGAGGGGGCACTCTGATTGCCTGTGGCTAAAGCTGAAGTGTACAGATAGAAACTAGAGGCAGCAGGGAGCCATCCTGTGCTGTAAAAATATGCTGTCAAATACAGTAAAGAAGTAGATGATGGGAGTGTTAAATATGGTGCTTCTATTCTTCGTGCCATAACTGCTCCAATACAAATCCTAACAAGTGAAAGACATGCACTCACAACATGAGTGATTCCAGTTTAGACGGACTCTGAGTGTTTCCAAACAGCATCATAAGCCAAAGCCATTGGCTTATGATGCTTTTTGGAGAGAGAAATTTGCTCAGATTTCTGTGAAACTCACGCTGCCTGACCATGTTTGGGGCGTGCCAGTGAGTCACTCTTAAGCTAGGCCATGGGCAATGCTTTCCATCAGATGTCCTGTGTGCTACAGCCAATGGCGTTATATAAGACTGTGATTCATCTGAACCAATGGCTGAAGAAGAATGAAGCTGAGACGACGCCAAACATGACTTCTGTTAGGAGCAGCAGTTGGGGGTTGGTTATTACCAAATTCAAGACAAACACAAACAGCTCATTGGAATTAGTAGTGATGAAATCCACAAGCTAAAACACAATCACTGTGGGGAAATGTCTCATTGATGACATTTTCTTCTTTTTATGCTCTTCGCATCTCATCCACACACTCACAATTAGCGATACACAGCATGCGTGGGAGTATCGTCTGAGACCACACAGCTCTGCCATAGGCTGCAGCCAGCAGCTGTCTCAGAGGAAGCTGTCAGTGTGGCCAACAGGCCCGGTTACATCTAATGAATACTGAACACTCCACATACAGCAGAACACCCAGAGGCGGTCATTATTATCACATCACCTATGAGACTCCACAGCTATGAATATAAACCAGGTACACGGCCTTGGTCTTTCTCATGAGGTTTCAATAAATCCAACAGGATGTCAATTTCTGCCTACCAAAGGCGTGTCGTATTACTCTGTGTGAAAGGTTGAACCAAACATGCAATGCATGCAGAGGATGATGGCAGAATTGGCATTGTTATCTAACAACTGCAATCACTTTAGCTGCTTTTATAAAGCAGACAATGATGCACGTTAAATACATCATAAGATATGTAGAGCAATTCAAAGCTTAATAAGCAGCTCAAATTGGTCCGTGCTTGTAAAATCAAATCCAATATATTTCAACGGACTCTCAATCTGCAACACCCTGCAGCTATCATCCATCTTCTATGGAGCTATCTCTAGTATTCATATCTGTTTTTGACTTATTTACCGTAAAACATCCTCTCACATGCACAGCAAAGTCAGAGACCACCTCCAGTACCCACTTACCGCCGATCAGGCTTCTTGAAAAAACTCGGCGAGTAAGGGGGTGTGTAGCTCATAGCTCTCTCAGGATAGCTGAAGTGCTGGTAGTGGCAGCAGAATCGAGGGGATGGTTCCGCCAGACGGAGGGCGCACAGCGTCCTGGGAGAGGGCGGCATGGCCCCAACAGGGGGAACCTGAGCCGGACGTGTGCGAGACTGTCCCATATTTGCTTCCAAGTGGAAGAGAAGCAGGAGCTCTGAGACCGTTTGCTCCCTGGTCTACTGTTTGTTCCCAACAACTGTGCTCTCAGCGCACAATGAGACAATTGAGGCAGTACTTCTGGATATACAGCCATAACTGTGAGTGCCACGCACAGACTGGCACTTGTATGATGTGTTTCTAGTCCAGCGGTACACGCTGGTTCCAGAGTCACAATGAAGAGGACGTTTTCCTGCCAAATGATTCCACTTGTTTCATCACTATACACTCAGACGAATGAAAAGAACCCTCTCTAGGTGTTTGTGAAAGGAATACAATTCAAATTCATGATGCAAAACTTAAATCATGATTAATGAACCTTAGATGACTGCAGTCACGCCGAACAGCTAAAAAACAAACAAAAAACAGACTATGGAGAAATTGTTGCACAACCACCTATGATTTGCAAGCAAAATCATGCTGAGACAGACAAATTAGCTCAGTGGCTTTTTATGTAACAATTCAGATTCCTTGTGTGCCGTTCATGTTCATCAGTTTGGGTAATCCTCCTTGTCAGCGGGCTTGTAATGAATGCATTAGTGTTTGCAGTACTTTTGCTGCAAGAAAGGTGTAACACCAAAGGTAAACTGCCCTCGTAATGATTAATTGCAGGAGGCTTCTAGTCTGACAGGTCTGCGTTAATGTCTCACACCTCTGTCTTTAGTTAATCCTTTTCCTGCTAATGGTGACACTGGATAATGTGTCTGGATTGAGATACTCTGACACTGCGGTGTTATGTAACAGGAAGCTATCTCAAACCAGTTTCTGCATGTTGTTTTTCACGACAAATATATTCAACTATTCATTGTCAAATGGAGTTTACAGGAATATTTATTTCTCTTACATTTGGTCAAGTATATACTTTGTTTTACTGGAATTTCAGGTTCACTTTGGCAATCCCTGTTCACAATTACAATTTAGGGTTATTCGCATGGTTCTTTGGTTAATCTGTGTCTGACCAGCCCTGTGCAGAATCGTGAGAGGGAACTGAGGGCTTGTTTTGAATGCGTTTACACCCAATAAATCCAGAGCAATTTCAAACTGAGAACATTTAATCCTTTCTAATTTAGCTTAGTCATGCAAAATCATCCAATGTTTTTTTTCTTCCAATTATTCTTGAGGTCTAACCTCCCAAAACAACATTGGATTGTTTTTCAAATATACAATATGTGCACTAATAAGATATTAAAAAATGTTTGATTTTTATTTTGAATTTTCTTTATCTTACCTCAAGTTTCAGACACCATAGCTGCCAAAACGTTCAAACTTCAGAGGTTAAGAGACTCCTCTGGATGTTCGTGTTTCTGCACAGTTCATCACAGCTTTTTCTGACTCTCTGTTTTTTTTTTAGCATCACACATGTAACTACACGTCTTTAATTATCTTTTTTGCTAAACTGACCAGTATTGTCTGCACAGATGGAGGGCTGGTTACACTTATAGACATGTACGGGAATGAGGAATTACAAAAATAAGAGGTGATTCAATGTCTTATTATGGGCTTCATCAACAGTGACTTATATGATTGAATTTCCAGAGTGAGGGAGAAATTGAAATTTTGTACCTGTAGAATCGCAGCAACAGCGGGCTCCTACAGTCCGATTATGTAACTGTTTGAGGCTTTAGAAGTTCCGGCACCATGTCAGCTCCAGAGTTGAGAGGTTCGGCTAAATGTTAGTTACCAGCGCCAAAGGATCAACTTTTTAACAGCCTACACTTAGCTCAAGGAACATCTTAATTATGATTTTTTTTAATGTGGTAGAAAATACAAAACTATTTCTGCCAGTTTCTCCCTAAAGGCAGCCGCTACGAATGGCTGGGTGACATGTTGAACTTCATTACCTCTTAAAAGGCTGAGGGGACTGCTGCTCCTTCACCTTGACTTGATTTCCTTTTAACAATGCATAAGTTGGTTTTATCGCCTTTCCTTTTATTACAACAGTTAGTTGTATTTTTTCAAAGCAATAATCACTTCATTTACAGTGGCCTTCGCTGGAACCGATGGCTTACAACAGGACAGCAGTAAATGGGACTGTGTGCAGTATATTGCAGTTAACAAGCTCAGGGACTTTGCAGCATCTGGGACCAGGCTGTGATTCAGCAGAAGTCAGGCAGCTCCAGGCTATAATGTAAAGATTTACCTTGTGGTGACTTGGAGAATGGTTCCAGACAAATTTACTGTGAAAACACTGACACCCAGTCAAGACCAGGAGAAGTAAACTTACATTAGGGGAATACTGGAGTATGGTGAGCCCCAGAAACCCCCCCAACACAGAAATTACGGTATGTTCGAACCCACAGCCCATAGGATCCCCATCTGTGTTTCGGTGCAAACATGAGTACGCATGGCAACACACACTCAAGATTGTACACTCAGAAAGACAGGGGATTAGACTCCAGGGTGTGGATGCGGTTTAGTGATCGCACTAATGGCTCTGTAGATGCTCTGCTAAAGGTCAAAGGTTGTAGACTCAATTGCCCATGCAGTGTTAAATAGCAGACTTAGTTGTTTGCCATGTTGTAACCCTTGGATTTGTTATGGGTCACCTAGTTTACCACAGACATTATGAAAGAGCTGCTCGTTACTTCTTCTCTGGTACTTGAAAAGTCAATTCTGATATCCTAAGTCCAAAAATAATGGAAAGGCTTTTACTAACAAAACATGTTGTGTTTACCCAACGCAGGATAAAAACAGTTACACCTGAAAGCCTGGATGGCTGCCACTTTGCATGGCACCTGGGATAAACACACTGTCGGTTGGATCGTGTCCCAGGACAAAAGGTTACAGAGTTCACTGCCATCTGTCTGTATTCATCCGTCTATGTTTCTGTAGAGTACTGTAGCTGTAAGCTGCTGTAGTAGGTGTAGATCTGTGTATCTGTGTCTGATTTAAGTTGTCTAAAGCTCCTGAATGCCAATGGGTACATACTGTGCCGAAATCCATCACAGGAGAGTCGAAACGCTGAGAAATGGGGATCTTCTGTATGAGCTGTGGAGCTGATTGATTCACATGGACTCATTCCAAGGAAATTTGCAACACTACCAGCTCTAAGTTGGCAGGTTTGACTTTAATTGCAAACTGGGTCATCCATTCAGCTACAATCTTCACATCAATAAGTCATCAGGAAAATGGGGCTGGTGGAATCATATATTCAGAGATGCATTTAAAGAGACGTTTGGCAGCATCTGTGGTGTAAGTAAATAAATCTGTTAAATGAGAGAATTGGATCATCTTTCCAGACTAACCCCCGCCATTGTTTGAAAGATAAAGACAGTAAACAGTCTGCTGGAGTTTATCAAGAGGCCAAACAAGAGAAGACGTCAGTGCCAAAAACAGATTCCTGAGGTTATCAGTCAGTGGAAAAAGAATCAATCAGAGCTACAAGAATCATTAGAAGTACTGACGTGATTCAGATTCTCTTAAAAAAGAGGAGTCCAGAATCACAATGCTACTTTTTTAACGTCTTCAATATTCTAGACCATCAACACCAACCTCTGCCAACTGGTGTGTTGAATAACAGATCTTTTATTTTAGCTGACAACGTCAGTATTTAATCCTGTAATATTGTTGTCATCGTAATTAGTCTGGGGAGGAACCAATGAAACAAGAAAAACGGCTGGAAACAGGTTAAAACCTGCAGCGTGGCATGCTACGCCTTCTGGTGACCTCGGTTAACCACACAATGACAGAAAAAACCTACTTTTTATCATGAAACTTTTTTCATGTTGTGCTTCGACAGTTTTTAATGTTCCAGACCTTAATTTCTGCCAAAAGGACGGTGTGTAATTGGAAAACACTGCTGGTTTACACATTTTACAAGCTTTGACTTTAGTTCACCGTTAGTCAGCAGTGCACTGTTCTTCACTGTCCCTGTCAAACAGCTTGCGCAAAAGTATTTCATTGGTGTGTTAGCTATTGTTTTGAGGAAGAAGAGACAACTTTTTTTCTTTGCACTGACTTAATAATCAACAATATCAGATACATGTGTTGACAAGCATATGCGCCACATCAAGACACAACGTTTCAGGTTCAAATACTTGGATGTTTAAAAGACACAGTTTTGTCCTGGAAGATGAGGCATAAAAAAGTGAAGTCTTTGCTTGATGAATGAAACGGAATAAGAAGTTTCTTTCATTGCTCTCTAGCTCTTGCCAGTTATAAAATCCCAGTTCCCTCTTACATTTCTTACTTTTTTCCATTCTATCCATCTTCCCACCCTCTATATCTTTTCTCTATCCATGGGTCGCCTGCTTGACTTTGCAGCTGCGTGACCTAAGTCACCAGCAACTGGGACACTGGAGGAATCCAGGCCCTCGAAGAGTCTCCCCACCTGGTGAGTGTTTGTGCGCTAGCTTGTGTTTTTGTTTGCTCGTGTGTATGTCAATGTGTGCGGTTGGACACACGCTTGCAGACGTGCTTGCTCTCACACGTCTGGCCTCATCAGCGCAATCTGGATTTAACTGGACGACAGGCATCCCACTAACTCTCTCTGTCAGTGTCATCTAAACACTGAATTGTTCCCACAGACTCCAGCAGGCTTCTCCGCTGAGTCTTCAAGCTAATCTGCTGTCACCTGTGAGATGACGACGGGGCAATGACTACGTTCCCACGGATGACTCCAGACGAGTCATTGGCGGTCATTGTAAAAGGAACGTGGCCATTAGGTATTCTTTTCACATAACAGAAAAAGATCACCTGCGAAATTCTTACAGCAGATGCATCATTCTTTTTTGTTTGCTACATTTTCTCCTAACTCATATTGACTTGATACCTGCAATTTCTCATCTGTACATTTTCAGAACAAGCTAAACTTTTTTATAATGAACAGAAAATTGAAAATTTTGAATACCTTTCAAACACCAAGACCACATTTAATATGAGTTGAGGGGTATAAAATCATAAATGACCGGTTCATATTGTGAAGGTCTGGCATAAAAAATCTCCAAAGTGGAAAAGAAGTGTCAGGTTAAAGCCATATCTGTGACTAACAGGAAGAATTAGTAAGTACATGGATGATATGCACCGGCAAATATTTCCAACCAAGCATACTTAGAGCAACAAGACATACCTCGTATAACTGAATACCCCCCCAGGAACTTTTTCACACCAGGGTTTGTACATTTATAAAAAAAAAAGCTTTTGGGCCTGTCTTTGTCTTTCCACACTTGGATGCCTTGAAAGGCTTTGCAATACTCTCCAAGCATGATCATCAATCACTCTGGTGAAATGGTATCAACCTCAAAAAAAACTGAAGCACCTGAACCAGTTTTTGAGAGGAAACTTCAAACATATCCCTCCTTTCTTCTTGAAATCACTTTAAAAGGATTTGAGTCTTTCTTTAGGTCTTCCGACGACGAGTCGAAGACATTAACGACCGAAGTTTGGTTTTCTAGCCTGAGGAAGTTTCATCAACCTACCTTCCACTAATTTCTACAAGTCAAATAAATCCTCTTATTCTCTTTCAACAAGACCACAAGAATGAGTCAGATCATAACTCAATCAGTTCTCCTCTTGTCACACACGCTCTGACTCAGAGTGAAAGTTGTAAATCTTATTGCGATCGGAGAATAAAACAAATGATCTGCTGAGGGTGTACAGTATAGCTAGTGTATTGTGAAAAACGAGGCTGTAATGTATGCAGATTTTATGTGTGGGCATTTCACACCTTTGAAAAGACTTAAACAATAATACCAGGCCATACAGCTACAAACTGACATAGTCGAAGTATTCAAAGCAGGAGTAGAAAAGAAGCTGGATCTGACCCACTTGTCTCTGGTACTGAATGTACTTGTTCTCAAAAACTCGCCACAGGATTCTCACCCCATGTGTGTTTTAACTTGAAACGATTGTAAACTCAGATTGATTGCTCCAAACGGCATCTGTGCAGTTCAAAATCAACCTATGTGGTGTTCATATGTAAATATGCCCATAAATTAGGCCGTACATTTGAGCGCTAACCATTCACAGACCTCTTTTATTTCCTCTCAAAGGGAAACTCACATATATTTAGCGAGTCCTCCTTTCAAATAGCATCACAAATTAAAACCATTCAACTCTGGAGTAGAGTTCTGCACACTGCAAACACAGAGGAGGGCTGAAGGCTGAGAGAACACAGTGTACGCAATGTTTCTTCAGCCTGTCTATGTGGCGAGGATCCCCACCGACAGAGGACAGGCTCACACAGATGACAGGAGAGCAGATGTGGGGGCCCTAGTCTTAAACGCTCACATGTTGTATAGTTTAATAGAAGGAGACTTGAAGGAACTTTAATGAGAAAATGCAATTAAGGTGGCCACACAGAGCAACTAAATTGTATATCCAGATGTTGGCCACCCTTGTGAAGACTGTGAAACAAATACATTGAAGCTGTAAACACACTTATTACTTTGTTTTCTCACTGTGAAATTCTGGGGAGTTAATGAGAATTGCAAAATGTTAATTACAATGCAGTTTTTCAAATTAAAATTAAAGTAATACAACATTTTTTGTGATATAGATGTTGTCATGGGCTACTTCCAAGCAGTATAAACACTCCCCAATAAACTCTCAGATGCAGTTGATTCACCTCTTCAAGTTTACTGAGGAATCTTGTGAAACTGAAATGATACAGGAACATATAAAACAATGAGTTACGGCTTACACACAGACAAGCAGTAGAGCTAAGCTACATTAGCTTTAACCGTTATAATCACAAACGAGCTAGAATGCCGCTAGCAACGAAAAACATGAAACTAACTTCGTGTAGCATTAGCGATTAGCGCCATAGCCGTTTTAACAACTTAATTACACTTCACTACAACCTTCATCTTAATACAACAATACAACAACGTATAAACACTTAGAGACGTTGCATGGACTAGAGGGATGAAAACGGAGGAAACGAGAGGAGCTTAGAACTGAACAGTTGACGGACCTCGCGAATCTGCCCACAATAACTTCCGGTTTCTCGATGACTCGCTGGCTACGTGTTGCCATGGCAACGCGATGTAAACAACTCACACTAGAGCGCAAAAACACTTCAGTAGGACGCGTTCAAGCAGCACTACACACATTCAAGCAACATTACAGATGTGTTAATGTTTCTTATGAATCAGACCACAGGTCATGCAGAAACACTGTATATTTCTGCATGACCTGATCATGTGCATTTCATCACTAATCCATTCAGAGTTCTTTAAGATATGTACCCTGATCAATATATTTTCCCAGAATCTACCAAAGTACACCTTTCTTCAGTTTTAAAGAGGGTAAAATCATTTGGTCTCGTTCTGCAAACACGCTCAGTTAGTGAAGGTATCTTTGATTTTTCTGTAATTCATCTCTAGTTGTTGATCTAGCTACAGTATGGATGTATATCTGAACCTGCCTTGAATGTATGGTATCTATGGTGCCTGGGAAACGGCCTTAATTGATAAGATGCAATTACACAACACTCTATAGGGTACCACATCACTGGTATGTAAGCGTTTCAGTGTCCCTGGGCACAGGCTGTTTATGTAAGCCTTATCTAACCTTGGATATGCATACATGTAATGCAACTAATGAAGCAAAAATCATTCATTCGCCGCCCTCATGCTATGCTGTATATCTGTGTTTCATGAGTGTAACACATGCGTGACACTTGACCCTCTGGTTTCTTGTAACTTGAACTTTGTTTTGTTGTTGTCGCTCTGACAGGCAGCTAACACGCTCACTCTTACAGCTAGGTCTTAGCCTACAATGTCTCGAGTTCTCTCTGCATTTTGAAGCTCAAGCAAATCTCTCAGAGCTCAAAAAACATTTGTGTTGTTTATGACTAATATCGGTTCAACAGGATTAATTGTGTAACAAAATGGCTCTATTTCAGGATGTGGCTCAGTCAGAGGAAGGATCAGCATCAAAAGGGGGCTGTGCGATCTGAATAAACCGGGGAACTTTGTGATATCAAACTCAGTGTAGTGCTGAGCTGAGGTTGTTTGGGAGTTTACAGGAACCCCAGCCTATCCTGCCTTCAAAAAGCCAGAGAGCCTGTCCCTCAGGCAAAGACGCAAATCTTACAAGCTGCCCTGATTGGTTATTTTGGGGCTTTTTTTTCCCTCCTCTTTGTCACAGCCCATTTAGAGACATGCACCCGGGTTGAGGACAAAGAAAACAGATAAGAACTTGACTCCGGGGTATTTGGTTTCATTGCCGGAGCAGAAAGAAAAATCAGGCATTGTGAAGTGTCTCTTTACCTTAAATAGAAAATAAAATGTGCATTAAAAAGTCGTATAATGTGAGCATCTACACTATCATGAGACATTGTACCCACTAAGTTTGCAGATGTCTTTTTCCAGCAGTGTGGTTTTTCAGGGTACTTTGAGCAGTAAGTGTTTGTGACTAAACAAATGAGTCTCTCTTTTTCTAAAGGGATTCTCCTTGGAAAAAAAACACTTCTCAGCCACAGCTCATTGAGCATGCTGCTTTGTAATGAATGCAAATGTTTGAAGTGAGGGAGTAAGTTATGTTGCAGTTGCTGAAAATTCACTCTAATGGTGCCACTACTTTGCAATTTGCACAAACAAAACGGTTTTGAATGACTGCAGAATTGCAAAAAGGGCCCGAAGGAAGATTTTATTTGCTTCCTTGAAAATACATCTAGCTCGATGGGCTTTTACGTTCATAAAAAGAAAATATTCTTGTTAAATTGGGGGATTTTGTTGCGGATGACTGGCTGACAGCAAAGGTTCGAGCTTGCTCTGGGACACAAACAGGAAATATTTCTACTTGAAAACCTCTCTTGAGCTCAGAGTCGTTCAATGTACACAAGACAAATTGTCTTTCTGAGATGTCATCTTCCTCGCCTCCAAGCTGCGCAGAAGAGCGAGTAAACACGATCTACCATCCCAGTCATTGTATAAAGGCTTGGGTAAACAATGTGGGCTGAATTGGCCAGCCTCCAACGTGTACCCAAGGGGTCCAAAGTTCACTTATGAAAGCAGAGAGCACACTCAGATCTGTTTTGCACGCACACAACGCACAGGTACACAAACACGGTCCTGTGCAAGCGGAGGTGTGCATCCAAGCATGGAAACAGCATAAAGATATTCATGCTCACCTACAGTATGCATGCTGACAATGTGCATCAAAACATTCATACAAAAAAATGGTCATGCATATGCACGCAGCTAGATCTGATGTATGCAGATAAAGCACGTACACGATCGCATACTTACAAGCACGCAAATGCACCACACAGTGTTTTTACCTCTGCATGGACTTGTAGATTTACAGCCTTTGGCAGGACAGAAATCACAACTAGAGAGATCTTTTACCATGCTGTCACCTTTCAGGGGTTGAAGATTATTTTTTTTGCTGGGTTTTTCCTTCACCAACAAAATGTTCTTTAAGATTTAGGGATTAAAACTAGTTTGAACTGACTGCCAGGGAAAAACTGCAAACTGCCTTTCGAAATGTTATCCTCTGGCGTCAATCAAAATAACAGCGTCTTTTGAAATAGCAATAGAAGATGTTCGTTACGCTTTACATCTTCTGACGTAAAAGCTCTAATCAGATCTGGCCTGGCTGCAACAAGAAGTGCGTAAGAGTCCTTTATTGTTTTGGAGATGGCCAGATTTGCCCACGCAAGAAGTGTTTGTGAGCCGGTTAGGTGTCACATTATCTTCATACTCAAATCAAGGAGTTCAGGCATTTTTATGACAAGGTTCCCACAAGCACTGCATTGCCTCAGCAAGGTGTGCGTTAGGGTTAAAGTTTAAATGCTCTGTATACACGCAGGTTTATTTGCTGGGAGTAATAAATTTCAAGATTCATTCCCCAAACCAGGAAATGTAACTAGCCAAAGAAGATATTAGAGTGGGAGAGGTCAAGGGGGTCAAACACAAATGCATGACTCTTTAGAGCAGAATACTGATGCACGGTTGTCTTTGGCTTCAACCTGCAAAAGCTCAAGCGCTCGCCGCAGGGCATCATGAAACAGGGAAAATATGCCAGGCTTGGCTTTGTGCTGCGCACTCCAGCAGGTTTCTGCCAGCATGTTTGTCTGACGCAGCTGGAGCTTTATTGTTATATTACCTGTGATAAAAACGTCCATCTTTCAATACATTCATAGAGCTGAGTGAACAGCAATAATATACATGTGACTGTGTAGTTGAAGTACGAAGCCAAATTGAAGTAAGACTGACAGATTGATAGGATACTCATAACAAATCTGGGGCATTTCCTTCTTAACATTTCCATCGCAAGAAGTGACACTTTGTTATCCTTCAAATATATCCATGAGTGAGTCATGTTTGAATTTGTGCGTGCTATTTTCAGGAACTGTTTCAGACTTTTGCAGAAGTAAACCAAAAGTTAAGTATGTCACATGTTTTTATACCCGCTGCATGACTCCTGACCTCTACACACACTCCCAATGCACAAACACACACACATATACATCCACAGTTATAAACCGCAACCCATTATCTTTGTTTTCCAGCCTGTGCCTGATTGTCCTCTTCACACCATCATAATGACTGTGGTGTGTTCTGTCTTGGTACGACTGTAATTACAGCCCGGCTGCGGAGAAAGGCGCACAGTGTGGCGCCTGCAAGGTGGCTGCCAACCTTTACAACAAGGACATTGTCATATAATCACAAAAGAAACAGAGTGTGCCTCTTGAATACAGAGATATTATTTCAAATAGTGTAAATATTTGTGTCCTGCTTACTCTTGGTTGAAATGGCCGAGTAACTTTTACATCTTGTCTGCCACCTTGGGCACATTGTTCACTTTTCTGCTCAGCTGCAATTCTCCTCCTCGTGCAGCTATTGTTATTCTTGTCTGTTCACACTGTCTCTGAGCAGTAAATCCTACCTGACAGGCATGCGTTGGGACAGCCTCACCCTCCCTCAGGGTTATTATCCTGTCTCTGACCTGTCTCGTCATAACGCAAGTTGTTGTCTGGTGCACGCTTACCCGTTTCTAGCGTAGGTGTTGCTGCCATGACGTGTGTGTTTATCGAAAAGAAAAGCTGCTTACAAGTCAGCATGTAAAACGGAGCTGCATATAGATGCAAAATATCAGGGGGGAGCAGTAAAATGTCTGATTACACAAGACATTCAGGAGCTTGTGTTTGTTCTGTGAGTGAACTGGATCAGGGCAGTATTCTTCGAGAGAAAAAAATGAATTTATCTGCCCTATCATGCCTTTCTACTCTGTTAAAAAGAAGACAAAAAGCGTTGAAAACGGATATGCTGCTGTCTGTTTTGGTTCTGAAAATAGGGCATATACGAAGTTACACACCTGCAGCAACTTGTGGGTACTTTTTTTCTTTGACTGCTTTGACGACAAAAACAAATATGGGCTTTTCTGTTTACACATGTGTGACAGAACATAGATCAGAAGATAAACCACACATGACTTTTGTTAAAGACAAAAAACTTTTCTTAACATGCCTCTTGAACTCAAGGAGATACTGCAAGATATGCACGTTTCCTTTAGCAAGAAGATACGGCAAACCACATCTTGTGTAATATTTCCTGCATTTTGGTAAAATGAGTGTGTAATAATGTGACTCAGGGATATTGACAATATTTTTAGTTGTTTTGATGTCTATTAAAGCTCTGCTATGAAAGCCATGTGTCTGCAAGAAGAGAAGAAAAACACAGTCAAGACAAAGTTGCCAAACAATGGACGAGACAGACACGCAAATTAGTGCGATAACAAGCATCCAAGGGATCGCCTTTCATCAGTTCACCAGATACTGCGTGTGTGTCTGGGCACCGCCGCCCTGAGGACAGCCCCCTCGCTTTGTATCAGAGACTGAGCTGAGCAGAGAGCCACCAAACACCAAAACAGGAAAATGCAAAAATGAGGAAGAGAAAATGAGAGGAGGAGAAAGAGGGAGGAGGGAGGGAGGCGGGGAGGGAAGAGAGGACTTTCACAGCTGTTGTTAGGCAGTGCTTCCTCTGATATGAGGCGTTGGCTGTACTCCCAGTTCTTTAGATAAACCGTCAGAAAACATGGCTACCTTGAGTTGTGTGTGTGTGTGTGTGTGTGTGTGTGTGTGTGTGTGTTTGGGGGGTGGGTGCATTAAGCAATGAGGGAGAGATAAACTGTTGACATATTAAAATGATTAAATCAGACTCAAAGTTTCACCCTACGTTTAACTTGCTCCCTTCTGTTTAGAAGAAGACACGTCAGTGGGATGTTGTGCAGCGGTAACTGTGCCGACATCTGCAAAATGTGCTATCCTCTTATCACAGGATCACAACAGTAAGCAGAATCTAAATCCTTATCTGTCCTCCTGCACGTCTCATTGTGTTTGCGACAGCAGGTGCTTTGGACTCCTACGACTGAAGGTGCATGACACGTATTTTGATGACACATATTCAAGTTGTGAACTAAAACACTTTGGATAACTTTGATCAAGGTGACACCAGAACTAAAATCTATTCTTTTCCTACAGAGAGCCTTAAGTACCAACAAAGGCTGTCATTTTTATCTTATGTGGACATGATTATTGTTATGTAGGAATAACTTTTCTTGTGTGCACTGTCGCTACCCGATCTGTCCGAGAAACCCGATTTTTACTGCGCATGTGTGAAACGTACGTCATTTCCTCTCCTAGTATTTCAATGCATTTTACAGCAGTTAGTTGTGACTTTTGCTACCTATCTGATCCATACTGCGCAAGTGCAAATTTACGTCACCTTAAGAACTTTATCTAAACTACCGATCGGATTCAGAAACCAGCTGGCGATGTGACAGGCTAGGTAGCAGGAGGCTCCAGAGCTAATGCCGAGGCATTCGCCGGATCTTCTGCCCAGCACGGTGACACCTTTTGTCCCACAGAGAGCGCCGCCACCTGGTCAAAATTATGGTTCTCTGACTTACACATTATGGACGATGAATTTCAGCGTTTTTATACAGCGTTTCAATTTCAACAATGTCGACTGTTGCAAACCATGAAGGGCAAAGAATTGCTGAGCTGCCGCAAAGATGGTTAGTCAAGGAAGTGACATACGTTTCGCACATGCGCAGTACAAATCGGGTTTCCGGGACGAATCAGGTAGCGACATGCACAAACTAGTTTCCTTGTGGGAGAAAGTTTCTATCTTATGCACTCAAGGTTATGAATATGCCAAAGTTATTATCTTGTGAAAAAAAGATGACTACTTTGCGTGCAGAAGTTATCCCCTTGTTTACAGTCCATTATGCATATGTGTACATATCACTGCAGAAAGGACGCACAGGGACAAGGTCTGCCTCCTCTGAATCTGATACCTCCTCCTAGAAAGCTTATTTGAGTGTGAATAGAAGGAAATATTCTGCTTATTTTCTTTTATATCAAACCCTTGATGGCTTTCAAAGGAAAACAGCTCCAGACTTTGTTTTTTTATCAGGGGTGTTGCTCAGAATTTCCCACTGATACGGTCTACAATAGCATCCTTTTCACTACAGAGAGCTGAGAAGTAGGCCTGCGAACAAAAGGTGCCCTAGAAATACGCTTCACTAAGACCAGCAAATAGGATCAGATATAAACAGATTTGTTCAAATTCTGGGGGATGATGATAAAATCGTGAAAAAAAAAATATGCATGGAAGGATTGTCAGTGTTTTGCCAACACTTTCACACTGCTGTGTGTGTCTGTTTGTTATGTAACCTCTGGTGAGAACAGAACTCTGTCTTGGAAATCAGAGGGAGCACTGAGCCATTACAATACACCCACAGATTATTCATGGTTGAAGTGTCAGAACATTCAACTTTTGACCGGTCAATCCTCAGACAACCCTGAGCAACCATTTACCCTCCTGCACGTACGTGTGAAACGACAGGTTTGTTAAGTTTCATTCACAGACGACTGAATCCTGTTTCTTAAAAATCACACCGGACCTCCTTGTTACATGACACCAGGATCAGGCTATAAAGTGTACACTGGAAGTGGAAACCAAGTCTCATTTTCCATCAGCTTTACTTGAAAATATCTACTCTGTCAGTCTTCTCTTTCCTGCCAGCGGCTCGGCTTATTTTCTCCAGGCACACATGGAACTTCATCTCAGCTTCATGCAAAATAAGCCCTTCCAGTAGTTTAAGGTCACACTCTGACCCAAGACTCCTTCCGACTCATCAACATCCAAAACAAAAACAGAGTTTCATAACAGATCCACCCTGTATGTGCTGTATTTCCTTCCCACACACTGTGACCTCTCGCTTATAAGCCTATAGCAAAATATCGCTTAAATTATGCTAGACAAGCTGGAGGGTGATTCATCAGTAAAAAACATCAGGGTCGGGCAGGGTGAGTTTGAGAAGCAGATGGAAATGTGTAAGAGAAGGAGAGAAAACACACCTCACAGATGACTGGAGCGTGGATTTCTGTTGATGTGTGGATTAAATATTGAAAGATACACAGTTTCTAAGTTTAAAAAAAGGAAACAGACTAAAATACCTGCGGTGAATAATCTGTGCTTTCTCCTGACCTGTTTTGACTGACCTTTGCAGAGCTCTGAGTTGTGACTTGGGGTGAAACAGGAGTCAACTGTCGGTCTCAAACTCCTTGACTTGTGCAAGAAATAACCGCCTGACCCCAGCTGACTTCCACGCCGTTTACTCATAAGTATTGAGAGTTCCTGAACTCCAGTGTTATATAAATTCTTTCTTTCTGCAGGCTTCACTTCCTCTTATGCGGCACCTTGTATTCAGGCGAGTGATAAATAGGTCTTTGAGTGCTGAAAGCTTTGTGCCATGCAGGGACATGGATGGCAGGCTGGATAGAATACGTGTGTGAGGAGGGAGCCAGCAACATTTCAGAAGTAAAGAAGAAGAAGGGGAGGCAAAGAGGGTGTCAGAGTTCATCACAGTCCACTTTTCCTTACATAAATCTCTTGTACTTTGCTCTGGCAGTGCACACTCTTTATGAGAGGATCCCTGTTTAACCTAACTGTGCTGTGTAAACACCCCAGCGTGCAACCTAATGACGACTTACTCTATTCTGTGACACCAGACTGGAAGGAATGCAGAGAGAGGTCGTCTAATGCCACTGGTGTTAATTGCTCCTCACGATGGCACAGTTAGATTGCAGGGGGGGGAGAGAGAAGCATAATAGCTTATCAGATAAATACAGTACGATGGCGTGGACTTGGCTGCTCCCTGGTACGACTGCCTCTTTTAGACACAGTGACACAAAGACAGACTGAAGCGAGGCCTTATTGGACGGGATGCCTCTTGTTATTTTCGCTCTGTATCTGCCTCTCTGCTTCTCTTTCTCAGAGCTGGGGAGCAGCCAGAAAATCTCAGACTCCCAGAAACTTGGCACGTACGTTCATTCTTCTCTCTTTGGCAGGCTGTTGTCTGCCAGAAAGACAATCCACAGAGAGAGAGAGAGAGAGAGAGAGAGAGAGAGAGAGAGAGAGGAGCTTTGAAGAACAACTCCACCTTTTCATTTAGTGACCACTGTCTGCAACTGGGACCAAACCGGACCTGTGTCATGCAGCTTCTCTTTTGTACTTAAGAGGTTACTTTTGAGCCAAACATGTGATCAAATGAGGATACAAAATCTCTGAGGAGGCCTGTGACTTACTGTAAGAAACTACATTGCCGTCATGGAAGAAAAACAAGGTTTCTGCTGCTTTTGTCTGTGTGTTTTCACCTTTTGGTTCCTTTTCCTTTTTTTCTCCCTTCTCTTTCTCTTCCTTTTTACCCTAAAGCTTCAAGACTCTGCGCCAAAAAGAGCTTGGAAAGTTGGACTTACTAGGAACAAACAGGAAACCACATTCATTACAGTAAAGTCGGAGTTTGATTAAGGTTCATGAGCGTTTGCCAGTCACTTGGCCCTATTTAGAGCATGTAAACTGTAAACTGTAATTCAGAGTGGCAGTTTTATGACATTACACTTTTCCACCGAGCTCTGCCCCTGCCTTCTGAGAAAACAAAACAAAAAACATCTCTCGACTTTATCTGCGATGTTTACCGCACACCTGGGTACATCTGATTAAAAACAAAGTCACCGCATTAAGGCATGAGTTCATTTCAACACGACTCTGTGTCCTCACCTGACAGCTCTGTGAAGTCTCCTATTAGTTTATTTTTCCTTTCCCTTCAATATTGAGTCAAAGCCCATTTAAATGCTGCAATTAAAGATGGCAACACAACACAAGAGTTACCAGCAAGAGAGGGCTTGTGTTGTTGAGGTGACGTGTCTTGCAAAATGAGGTAAACACTTCAGAAAGCTTTAATTGGGCACACATTGAAAACACGGCACAGGTACTGCAGATTAAATTAAGAGTATGTTTGTAACGATGGGGAGCAGATGTTAGAGACGCCAGTGAGAATCCATTTACATATTTTCTCCCCCAACACCCATATTACATAATCGTTTAATGGGCCAAAAACAGCATAATGACGCTTAACTAAGTTTGACATATAATCCCTACTGCAACTGCGCTTCTTAATACAAAAACCCATTACCCTTTTGCCCATTGCATGAGGGAGGGGGGTAATGATCGGGGAAACTCTTGGCTCCTTCATACCAACATACACCAAAAGGCTGCAATTTTTTGACTAGAGAACACAGAAGTGCAGTCAGGAGAGAGAGAAAAAAACAAGCTATTTGTCAAATCTGAGATGACCAGTAAATTCAAAAATAGAACTTGAGTGCTCGCTGTTGCTGCTGCTGTAACCCGTGTTGTTGAAAAATTGCACCTCATGACCTGAAGAAGTTCAGAGAGGTAATTGTTTTCCTCCCAAGAGTCTCTTGGAAGCAAGAGCATCACTAAACTAGATCTAATACTACCTCTCATCCCTGCAGGGGTAAAGACATCATAAAAGTGTTTGTGTAAGTGTGCAAAAAGTGTGTTTTTTTGTGTGAATCCTTTGACCTGAGCACAGGTGAGCTCTGCTGTGCAAGCTCATTTCCCAGCAATTTCACCCATTTTTCTTCTCCCTGAGCCTATGCGGCTCTTTGTGTGAGTGTGCGTATGTGTGCATGTACTTGATGGGTACATTATGTACCCAACCTGCGTATGAATAGAGAGAATGAGACAGACTAATGATAGACCTGGTGCTGACCTGCTCTACAAAAGCACTGTCTGGCGGTATTGTGAAGCAGACTGTTGTGGTGAGGAAGGGAGAAAAAAAAAACAGAGTCAAACGGCATTTAGGGTTATGAAACAGACATCCAGAGAGGAACAGATGGAGTAAGAATCAGACTTAACGTGAAAAGGAAGTCCAGGTATGCCTGTCCTCTTGAAAACACTATTTTATCAGCCTGGTAAACATTTATTATCTCTTAGTTGACTGTTTATTTTGAATGTCTAAACAGAAACTAACCTTAACTAAACTAGAAGTGGGGTCCTGCATGTGTCACTAAAGTAACATCTTAAGGGCCTGTGTCCATTAACAGCATTCTTTTTGTGCTGGCTGCACCTATGAACTTAATTTCAGAGCACTTTCCGTAAACACCCTCAGATGCAAGGTCACAAAGGTTGTTCACAAGTAGTCCATGTGACTGTTGAAGCTGTTTTGAATAGTTCTGTATGTTTGCAGTTTGCCTTAAATCAATGGATCCTCAACACAAAACAAAAGTGAGTAAAAACTGTAAACATAAAGCAACAGCAGTGGGACGCTGAGCGCTGGAAACACTGACCTACACTGGTTTTGTGTAATGTTTTTAAACATACACGCCCTGTGCAAAAAAAAAGATAAAATGTTGCAAGTGTGTATAGGCCCTAATGATCACATTTTGACAATAAGGGAGACAGACCAACTTCATGCACTGAGAGTTTGGGAGTGTTGACTCTTACTGTCAAGTGGACTGAAAACCTTCTCACCATGGATCTGGAAAAAACTAAGGTCATTTAAAAACTTTATCTCTGATCTACTTTGCTTTACTCTAACCTAACTTGAACTCATGCAGTTCTGTCAGGGCGGGTCACTATTTTCTCACCCTTAAGTCAGAGTTTGAACTCCACTAATGAAAAACAGCAGAAAGTAGCAAAATGAAACTTTGACTGCCACCCAGTCAGCAGCTTTTACAGCTTAGCTTGGGTGGTATGGAAACTCCATCATTTCATTTCCCTACATCTGCATCATGAACCATACAGGAGACAAGTATTTTCCATTGCCTGACATCAGCTGTTGTGCTGGCTATTGTTGTGTGCAAGCTGCAGCCTGATACAAAGCATTATGCAAGCTGTATTACAGTCTAATGCCTATTTAAAGAGTGTAATTATGAGATATTTGTTGTTTGTGATACTATTACTCACTCTAAAGTACAGGGCTGTGTGTGTGTGTGTGGTGGCAAGTGTTGACAGGCTGTCTTATTATCTTAATCGGCGCCATAGTCATGGTCCAAACTGATAAGGCAGTGAGTGGTCAACCTCACCCCTCCTTTGCTAAGAATTATATAAGTTCAGCAGCTGCTGCCAACTAGAATGACTATGATGAAGAAAGAAAGAGAGAGAAAGGGCAAACAGAGAAAATACACAGAGAGTTAGAAAGGGATGAGCCCTGAACAAAAGAGGGAGGGACAGATAGTTGTACTAACATAAAGGTGACTGGATTTCGGTGGATTTGTGGAGCTGCATTCCTTTTTTTAAACTGTTTATTGAATTATATTTCTGTGTCTAAGTGATTCTGAATTCCCCCTTTTTAAATTCAAGGTGTCTGCCCTTGTTATGCTGTATGTGATGCAACTCTTCATGCCTCTTTTCACTTCATGTCTATTTTTCATGGACTTTTGCCATTTTAAACAAATCCTGTTTGTGAGACGGAGCTGGGCCTCCTGGGCTTCGGTACAAAGAGTTTTAATCGGAAACCACAACATCTTTTTGGACGGATTACGCTTCACAACCACAAGCAGAAAAAAAAGCCTGTTTTCCTTGACACTTGATTGTTGAATATTTATTATTTTGTGACCGCAGCGTGATAACAATCACTAAAGAGCCCTTATGTAATCCAGAAACTAAATGCGTGTGCTGAAGTTAGTAGAGAATTATTTCTTTTTAATTTAAGCTTTTTTTCCAGTTTGTGAAGTATTCCGGGTCTTTCTATTTTTTTACTTCATCTGTCCTGTATGTATATCTAATGCATTCTTACTAAAAATGTGCTTGTCAAAAATACTTTTGGCCTCACTTTTTGTAATTTGGGTGTGTCAAATCCCTTCTCTAAGACTTCTCCAGCACGCTATGATGTCTTAAAATGGACTCAGAGGACAAAACTGATATGATACTTATAGATTTATAATCCTGCTCTGGTACATACTGTGTCCCCTCTCTGTCACTCAGGACAGAGGAGATTAGCTGGATTCTTCGGCTCTATAATGCCGTGGGTCACCTCTGACTACTGAACACAGCGCTGCAAGTCTGTTTGCATCTGTGTGTGAGTGTGTTAGTGTGCGTGTGAGTTGCCAGGGAGTGTCCCGCGTCTCCCAGACAGACAGACAGATGAATCATCAGTCCTGACCTTGCAGCTGTCACCGAGAAGTTCAGTGTTGGTGAATAAAGATGCTACATGACATAACCATAAAAAGAAGGCATTAGGGTATATGTCTGTCTGGGCGTGCTTACAATAATTTAAAGCAAAATTACCGTAAATGAGTATGTCTCAAACTTTGAGTTCCCAAAAAAATGCAGTAAAGTACCTTCAATTACATAATAATTTAATTTTAATCTCACTTCCTTTTATGAATCTGATTGGTCCGTTAGATTAAAGCGAAACTGTTATATAACTTCTAAAAGAGGGAAGAAAATACAAAACCAACAGACACACCGCACTCAGAAAGTGACAGAAAAGAGAGATACCGCAATGACAATCTGATGTTTTGTTTCCCCGTGTTTTGTTTATCATGTTGCTAGGGCCAACCGAACATGGAACTACAGCAGTATTGGTAAAGACAACCTGTACACAGGCGGTTGCAACAACAACTAATATCTGTATGCCAGAGTTCAGGGTGAAAGATACTGAACTGAGCTGTCTTAAAATCACAAATCTTTCCCTACTATATACAGCAGACAGTGTCCAGTTCAGTCATATAGAGGAGTAAAGGCATGTACACAAATAGACACATATACCATTCAGCGGGGGGCTCCAGGCCTCTCCTGGCACCACACCAACGGCCGCCTATTCACACAATCACAACACAACAAGGCAGTAACTCAAGAGGTCTATGAAAAAGACGTCATTGTGGGCCCAGCAGTGATAAAAATCAAGCTCAGGGCTAATTCAAGGTGCAAACTCACCAACTATACACCAAATCAAGTTTTCTGATACGGTGCTCTAATCTGTTGCTTCCTGACTGCCCTGTTTTAAAACACAGAGGCGGTCAAAGCCTGTGTTATTGAGGAAACTCATAAAAAACAACCATAAAACAAACACTTGACGTGACTTTTAACTTCCTCCAGCCCCTAAAGAGTGACTTCCCCCCGCCATAGAAACAGGTTGTGACTTTTTTTAACAGACGTCTGCAGTCTACCTCGATCTATCCGCTCAGTGTCAACAGCACACTATTTTTAGTAGGTCCTGTCTATGTTTTGTCTTTGCACTGGCCCCCCTGTCTGGTTGTTTGTCTACCTCTGACTCTTTCCCCTAGCTCGCCCTCTCATCGCTCTCCTCTCTCTCCCTTTCGACATGACTGAGACCTCGCCTTGGCCGCCTTTGTTTGTTCGGGATTTGCTTGTAAGGCTTGCCTGGCCATGAATCTGTTCTTCCCACCCCAACATCCTTCCCCTTTGCTCTCTATCCTCTAATCCCCCCCCGCCCCCAAACACATACACACCTCTTTTTTTTGTCTACATCCGTCTGGCCTGCCACCTGCAACCCAGGAACTTATGTAACTCTCTTGAACTTGCATTGAACACGTAGCTTTTCCACTGCGGTACAACATTTAAAAGAAAGGGTTGATTGGAAAAAAAAGGGAGGGGGATGATTCATCGTCAGTGAATGTGATTTTACATTTATGACAAAAAAGAGGATGAAATCTGCACCTGTGGAAAGGATGTGACAGAATTCTCAACACTGTATAAGCTTAGATGAAACCGCAAAGATTGTGTATTTTTCTGAATGATTAATGATTTTTTTGTTTGTTTCTTCGTTATGTAACTTGCAAATGTGGCGAACACAGTGGCCCTAGTGTCTTATTCTTCATCGCTCTCACATCTTTCACATATTGTCTGACATATTGAAGTGCTCCTACATAACCAAGATACCGAGAGGCTATTATTTAATTTGTTGAAGCCCTTTACATTTTCCTCTCTCCCTAATACACACTGTCTGTCTTTAAGTAGCAGATTATGCAGTCTGTTAGGTGTTTCTCCATTAACAAACAGGTGAGGGATGATCCCTGTGAGACCTCTCTAAATGGGACTATCACTTCGCTGACAAATCTTCTATGCAAATGATGTGCTTTTGCTTTCGCAGACTTTCCCTGAACTCAGCGAACCCACATTTATCTCCAGTCAGACCCACTTTGACTGGAGATAAATGTGCCGGTGTGATTAAAATCTTATGTAAATATTGTTCGACAGTGTTGTATTGTGTGTCCGTCACTTATTTATGCATGTTTAGATTAAACTGTGTTCAGTACATTGTGTAATGATCATGATTTGTCGATGTGGTTTTTTGTAGATTAAAGTTTCAAATAGTTATTGATAAACCACTTCACAAAGTTTTACTTGCAGCAGAGAAATTGTTCATCATGTTATTCTCTTCATTCCTAAAGCATGAAGCTCTGTGTCTGTACCCTTCAAAGGGGGATCATAAAATCCATCTCTTGCAGCAGAACTAGTTTGGGATTGATATTTTGATCATTGACTGGAGGTCCAGAGCACAGGAGGGTCTTTGCCACAGCTGGATCCTGTCTGCAGTGCATTGTGGGAGGGCTAGGTCATATTCCGTGGTCAAGTGGACCAACGCCAAAGGCTGGAGATCATATCAGGCCAAACAGGGGGGGACTGTTACCACTGTAATGAAGCCTGGGTCACCACGGCAACAAAGTGCACAGGGATTAGCAGTTGTGCAGTGAGCAGAAAACCAAGCAGAAAGTAGCTCTTCTCCTGAGTCTGATTTTGTAATCCTCCTGCGTTAAATCTATTATCCAAAGCTCAAACTTGGAAGCTCATTTACCTTCAGACTGACTGACATTTTTGTCTGTCATTCTCAGCCAGACTGGAAAATTCTTTGTTTCATTTGTCATGCCTGAACAACAAAAAGAAAGTTATGTCATCCTTTCATGGCCAGTGTACACCTAGTCTGGTCTTTTTACCTCTCAACAGGAATTCCATGTTTTCTTTAGTCCTCCCCATTAGTAAAAACAACATTTCCTTTCTTCTGAGGTATGACAAACAGCTCTTTGTTATCCTGTCTTTCTCACTCTGTACAGTCTGAAGGTGCACATTTAACACTTCTGCAGAAAGAGCTCCTTTTATGAGGCCTTTGGCACTTTGTGGCATCTTTTCCGCGCTGCTGCAGACTCCGTTTCTCTTTGTAGTCTGAGCGCTTACTGACTGACAGACTGCTCACAGCCCTGAAGTCCTGTGATAAACGTTTGTGTCATCACCGCAGGCTCTTCACCCCTCTTCACCTCCACATGTGAAGGTGTTTAGTGGCTGCTGAGTACTGACCCAGCGCCTGGGGTTTAGGTGAACAAGAAAGCCTTTTCCTTTCAAGCAAACTTTGGCTATCTAAGCATCAAAGTACATCAACACGTTTTCTCTGGTCTTATCTTTGGGAAATCACAGATTCTGGACCCCTGAGGACTTCCTGGCTTGGCCTCAAACGTCAAACAAGACTTATAAGCTCAAATCCTCCCCTCAGCACATTTCTTTGACCCTTGAATCATTTACATAACAAGTTTGCTGGCCACTGCCGCACGCTGATGCTCGAGTCCAAAAAGATGTCCTGGCAGGCTTCCTCGAGCCATGCTTAAAATTTTAGTCTGTTAACAAGTGTCGAATGAGAGTGATGGCGGCTCAGCAGATTGACCACCCAGGGTGAGGTCACAGTAGAAAAACCTCAGCCAAGCTTTCATCCAAAGTTGTGCCTTCCCGAAATCAGCACTTGAAAAAAAAATGTATGAACTTGAGCAGACCTCAGCTCAGCTCAGCTCAGCGGCTTTCTTGTTCTAACTGACAGGATTAGGCTGTGGGTACATGTGTGAATGAAAGAGCGCATTTGTGTTTCTGCATGGAAAGGCGTAAAAGGGAACACTTTGGAAATTAATGTTTTAATCCAGCGGGAAGGCCTGAGCCACATGATCCATGTCTGTGATTCTCTCTCGAGGAAACAAAGTGTTCTGGCTTAAGAGGGTGTTTGTCTGACTGAACAGTTGAGCCTGCAGAGACCGATGCTCAGATACTCTGGGCGATACCAGGGTCCAAGATATGTTAACATCATCAACATCTCTAACCTGATTTCCACCTCCCTGGATGAAAAGCATGATATTTAAAAAATTTGCTCTGTAGATTCTTTTTCACCAGAAAATATCTCCATTAGTTCTGACATTTTGTGAAGCTAAGGGGGTAATGCTGTGTCACTCAGTTAATGATCGATTTTCTCATCTGCGAATTCAACTGGATTAAACAGAAACTGGCCTCAATGTTCTGCACATGCTTCAGTGTTCGCACGAAGGCGGCTGGCACAGATGTGATGCTGAGACAACAAACAAAAGTTGAAACTTTCCTTTTGTACAAACAGTAAAGAACGGTAAAAGTCAGTGTATGCATCGTTAAACGTACATCTATTTATTTATATCTATTGCACTTTAACCCATTATTCTGTAACTATTTATTGCAAAAAGCAACTGTGAGTTGCATAACTGATCTCCAAGTACTTAACCAAAATATTCCCTAACTATTTATTGCAAAAAGCAACAGTGAGTTGCATAACTCATCTCCAAGTACTTAACCAAAATAACTAGATTTAGACTTGGTCTAAACTTGGTCTAAATTTAGATGTATAAAAAACTTTTATTTTTAGACCTGTGTTAGCCTGATTTTAGACCAGTCAACAAGGCTACATTTAGACGTCTATTAGACCAAAAAATGCTCAGTGGGTGATCATTTCAGGTGGCATTTATCATCATTTTTTCAGCAGTATTTTACTGACGCATCCTATCCCTGTCATAAATAAATCCAGAACAGACCATTTCCTCACTGAGTGCTGCAGCTCTAGCTCCACAGTAAGAACAATATCACTTTAAATAGGTGTTAGATTAATGAGCTTTTAAATAGATGTTATGCAACTGAGCCGATACAATAGTAAAGTGTGAGGAAGTTCCCTTGCTAGACTGTTTATTCATTGTTTTCACTGAAGTGAACTCTGCTTTATTCTGTGACCATTCAAACAATTCATTTGAAACCAGTACTTAGAGTTTGGCTGTGATGAGTGTTTACAGCAAAAAGCCGCCCCTATTGGCTGGAGATCATGACTGTGATCAGCGTGACAATGGTTTATTAATGCTTAATAGTACTGAATGTACCTGGATTATATAAGCGGTCACCAGAGAAGATAGGAACGGTCTTTAACAGTCGGTGTGTACCACAAATTAACGATAAGTTAATGTTTAACCTTTTAGGTTATGCTGCATTGGCCTCCAGAGGTATTTGATAAAGCAGTGATTGTGCTTCTTGGCAGAACATTGCAGATGGAATAACATCTGTAGATAAGTGATTTGATCAAAGATTACAAATACTGCTCCAATTCCAGGCTGGATACACGTTATTACTGGTATTTTATTTGAGTAATGTGGAAAAAATGGTTTTAGCTTACATTCATTCGGAAATGTTGCTAAATAAGGGTTATGTTATAGAGATGAACATTGTGGAGAGTTAGATTTAGATTTAGATTATACTTCATTGTCCCACTCAGGGAAATTCATTTTTCAGACTGTACATATAGACACATCAAATAGACAAGGTTGTTCAAAGACAGCACATTGTGAGACAGTCAGACATCCCCACCACCCAACCAGACATTTTACTTTGGTTAAAATGTGCATTCCTACAGCAGAAGTAAAGGTAAAAAGACAGTTAAAGTATGATCGGGAAACTGTTTTTCTGATATTCCTCATAATAAGTGCTGCTCAGGCTTCTCAGTTTCTACATCCCTGTATGATTTGATTTAAACAGTGTAAATGATCTGTGTTATATAAAGGAATCACAAATAGAGTTTCTTCTTGGATGGGTTCCAACCCCTTGAGGTTATTTAAGTTAAAACGTTGTGCCGTCTTTAGCAACAAATATGAATGAGCAAATGTTAATATGATTCACTTCTTTGAATACTTATTTTAGAAAATGTAATCAAGTGTGACAAGTACACCGTAAACAGTTCATGGAAAAGCTGTTGACTTCTTTCATAAGAGATCTTAGAAGAGCATTAGCATCATAAAAGTCCGTCTGTTGCTCTGAGAGCACAGTGACCTGAAGAGAAAAAGCCTTTTTACAAGAAGTGGTGAGGGTAGGTGCAAAGTTCAGCCTTGATATGGAGATATCTGCTGTACAATAATGTAAGTGAGTGGAAAAGCCTGTCTGTTACCGACACATTATCAGTTAAACGATGTAAGTTTACATAATTATGTGTGACACATACGTCATGGTCCTGAAAGGTAAAGCTTTGAATGACGACATCTGCTGAGTATATGACTTCCAAAGGTGGCTCTTACGATGATAACGGGTTCATGTTGTTTAAGGTTAGCCTATTTCCCATTACATCCATACATTTTAAACCTCAGCTAACCGTGCAGACATGCGTAATGTCTCCTCTTCCACATAAAACTGTACAGAAACTGCTGGCTTAGGCTCTTGGGTTCCGTGACGTTAAAAACATTAGCTGACTGGAAACGATGGGTCGTGTTAATTTGAGGCTGAAGTTTTCTGACAGGAGCTGCCAAACAAACTGGCAGCAGCTTTGAAGCTGGACTTTCTCCTTCTGTCAAACATAGCGAGGTGAGCTGCCAAGCTCACTTTCATTAACACTTTTTGGCAGCAGGCAGTAGCGGAGAGGGTGTCAGGCCAGATCTAATTGACCCCGAACAATAAAAAGAGCAGCTTAATTGGATCAATGTGACAGCAAACTGTTGCATTAGAAAAACCTCAAGTTTTGGAAAGGGGTGTTTTTCTCAGGGTCGAGCTCCTCTGTTTTCTGGCTTTTTTGGTCCTGTTTGTTTAATTGAGGTTGAGTCGTCTCTAATACGATGGGTAGAAGGTCTTTCCAGGAGTTGAAGTCTATCTGTTATCAGTGTAATGTTACATAACCCATTAAATACGCGTCATGAGAGACCTGGATGGTGTGGATGCAAATTGGCACTGTGCGCTGAACAAATATTTAGACATTTTTGGGCGTAGTAAATCTCTATTTTCATTTCTTTAGATGTTCAGATTAACAGAGAAAAACACACCATGCTTTGTTTGATGGGTAAAAGACGAACATTTAACCTGTCGGTCAGAGATACATTTTTAAATAAAGTAAAAGAACTTACCTTTATCAAACCAATTCATGACAACTCAAAATAAACATCCCAATCTGAGCCTCTGTCTGCCTAATCCCTGACTGTGAACTCTTCATGTCATCCTTTTAAAGAGGAAGAGCTGATACAAGAATCTTAATTATCTATCTTGTTCATGTAAGAAAGAGGAAACCATTCATTTATCAAAACTGTACACATACCTGTGAAAGAAGAGCAGTATGGACAGCATGGTCTGGTCAATGTTGCTGTTGCAGATCCCCTCGTTCAGCAGGAAGCAGGGGTCCCTCACCACAGACTCCAGCGAATCCTGCCTCATGATGTTGTTCAGCTTGTCTGTGTTCAGGTTCTGGTACATTAGCTGGTTTCGGAGCTGGCGGAAGTGGCTGACACTGGGGCTGCACGGGCTTCCTGGAAGGCCTTCAGCCGGACTGCTGGCGCTGGACATGGAGTCATCGCAGCCGTTGGCCAGGTCCAGGCAGCAGCTGCAGCAGTCCAGGCCTATGGGCGAGCGACAGTCATCATCAGACATCCTGACAGGACAGGTGGATGGAAGGGGAGATGCCCAGGTGTAGACAGGCAGCTGCAAGAATCTCAGGAAGGGGTGACAGAGGCTGAATGAAAGACAAAATGAAAGGCCAGAAAAAGAGGCAGCTTGAGTCTCCTCTTCAGGACCAGTAGGGTAAAATCAGCAGGTTGAGTTCCTCCCCTGAGAAGCTGCCGTTACGACGGGCCACTGCTGTTTCCACTGTATCCCTGAGTTTCTCCTCCTGCGGCTCTGCCGCTTTTAGCCTTTTGTTCGGGGCCGTCACTGTGTGGCTACTGTGGCAGGAGACAGAGCGAGCGCCTCACACAAACACGCACACACACATCCACACTCCCTCACACCGATTCAGCAGGAGTGCGCTTGAAAGCAAAACCCAGAAGCTGCTTATCACTTTTTTTCCCTGCACTTTTTTTCTTTGGTTGGTTTGTCAGAAGACAGTGGGAGGGAGCGTTAAAAAAAAGAGGGAGGAAGGGAGGGAGACAGAGAGGGTGGGGAAACCCTCGTGATTGGTATAAAGCATTGCTGGATACACGCTCTGGGCCCTCCCCTCTTTTCTCTTTCAGCTTAGTTGTACACGCTGTAAAACAGGAAAGGAAACAGACAGAGGAGAGCACGGCTTCAGAGCATGCTTAAAACATGTGCAGTGCCGCCAGCTCCACCCTGCCATGCTGACAGCACAAGGAGTGGCAGAGAGAGGGAGGCTGCAGAATACACACACAGGCACGATAACACGTCTGAGCTGCTAACTTGTGAAAAAGAGATGAAAGAAACGAGTTTGAAGTTGATATTGAAGCAAAAGAATGACATTTGACATGCTTCTGAGGTTGAAAGTGAGTTTTCTTTCTCATTAGATTTGTGTGTTTTTATTTTTTTTTACCTCTTTCCATTGAATAAAAGTTTGTCACCAAGTTTGTTAACATGTTTAAGAACTACTTATTGATGATGATAATATAAATGTTTAATGAGCAAGACATCAGAACAATTTAGAGTCCCAAGAATGTGAGCAGTGCCAAGACTCTTCTTTGCAAACAACCGTTCAGCCATTCACCAAAAATCTAAAGTTTTGTTATTCCCATCTGAATTAAGAGCAATATTGACAGTTTCATTAGTTTTTTTGCCACAATGTCAACAGGCAGAGGGAAAATGTGCCGGAAACATCTTTGAAGCTTTTTCAGCCTCTGAGCTGTTTTTGATGGCTCTTTTGCAGAGTTTTCCTTTTACTTCAAGGAGAGAGAGAGAGAGAGAGAGAGAGAGAGAGAGAGTTCTGTGCAATGAATGGCCAGCAAATCCTTGACACTCAACTTTGATCGGTTCTCTGTGGGCTTTCCAGCCTTTGCTTCAGCCACTCTGTCAGCAGCTCTGCATGTTTCACCCTCTTGTGCTCACAGTGAGTTCCAATAAGACCACGTGCTTTGTCGCCTCCGCAAAGACTTGAGCTGTCTTCCTAGGTCAAGTTGAAGCCCACCTGAAGAGTGAGGCTGATGTTGTGTCTTCTCCTGAGCTCTGATGAAGGAGATTGAATGCTTGAGGGTGTACACCGCTGACTTGACTGATAAACAGACACTCTGTAGTTACTTTGGAAGCGGCAAAAGGCCTGTTGAGCAGAAGTAAGGCTGAGCCAGCATTTCCAATAGGCCTCAAAACTCCACTTCAGAAACAAATGGGTGACACCACCAAAACTGGATTCATTTATCATACAGAGTATGTGAGGGACTCTAAACCTTGTCAATTTCGTTGCCAAAACAGTCTGCTAAATCTATGTTAATCCTGTCCTTTACGTGAAATACCCTTGTTTGATATGCTGTTTAGATATTTCCCTGTTACTTTCTAATCAACCTGTAAAAAAAGAAATAAAGACTTTTTCCATGATGTATGGAGAAAATCGCTTTGTTCATGCATGACTTTAAAAGTAGCCTAAAGAAAGTCAGTCTTTGAGCTGAAGGTCAGGTTGGCTTTTGTAGGTCGTATGAGTATTAAATTAAGCCTGTTTCATAACCAGTTTAAACCCTTTACAGTTTGTTTAAATTGCCACATTTTTCACTGATTTGCTCCAGAAACTGCAACATTTATATGTTCGAACCTTGTGTTTACTCCTGGTATTTTCTCATTTTCCCTTGGTAGTTGTAGAAAATGTCAATTAAAGAGCCCTGCATAGCTTTACAGACAGATGTATAGCAATCATTACAGGCAGCATTACCAGCTGAAAAATTGCTTTATGCTGTTTGCAAATGTGTTGTCAAGGCTTAAGATAATTCTATCGTTGAAAAAACAAATAAATGCAAATCCATCTAAAGCGTTTTAGTGTTACTGCGCATATGCATGCGTGAGAAAAAAACTGGTTGTGTGCTCTAAACAGGCATTTTACATCATCTTATCAGTCCTCCCTTGTCCTTGTTTAGGATTTAGTCAATGCCCATATCTGTTCCCACAACAGCAGTCTTTAAAATTAGGTAAGAGCGTGTCATGCTGTGCTCTTGTCCTCCAGACAAGTGTTCCACAAGCCCGGCTAAATACCGGGACAATGTCATCACAGACAAACACGGCTCCAGCAGGAATGTACTGCTGAGCCCCTGACCTCAACCACTGACCAACAAGTGTACAACATGCTGTCTGCAGATGGCCAGTCATGCAAAAAAACACCACCACAAGTTAATTACAAAAAGCATGTCTTACTCCGAGGCATGCTGCTGTTTCTGCCACAGTAAAATAAAAGTCACACCATGCATTGTTTGGCAGCAGTGGGATCAATTAAGCAAAGAAAATGACTGACTATTGCTTTATTGAGTGTGTAATGATGGCCGCAGGCAGTGAGCGGCTGTAGTTCAGTTCGTGGAAGGATGAGATAGGGATGGGTAGATGCTGCCCTCTAGTGGTGAAATATTACTACTGTCACTAATACAGAGGCACAGTCAGAAGTCTTTTTATGCCCCACAGCAAACACTTTTGACTTTTTCTCACCTCAATCTGAAAGACTTAATATAAACACTCAGTCTTAATAGAAATAATTACTGGAATGCAAACACAGAATCTCAGTTTTTATTTACAAGTTGAAGGCAGTTAGATTCAGCATGAGTCGGTCTACTATGACTACTTTTACTACCGTCTGGTTAAGATAAGCAATAAGTCCATCTGTGTGCTAAAAAGGAAGAATAAGTGAGCGAGGGTATATCTGTAACCATTTATATTCACAAGGTATAGGGATGAGGGAGGTGTTGGGTAGATACATGGACTACTAGGATTTTGTTTTCTGTTCATTTATTTATTTATTCTCTGTTCTTTTTATTCTTGTTTCATTTGTATGTGTGTGTGTGTGCATGTAATTAGGTGAGGAGGGTGCTGAATGTTTGTGTTCATGTGTATATGTATAGGTAGGTGTAAACGTATGGTGCATCTGTATACGTATGTGTGTGTGTGTATGTATGTATGTATATGTGTATGTATGTATGTATGTATGTATGTATGTATGTATGTATGTATGTATATATATATATATATATATATGTATATGCATACTACTATTATGTTGTACAATGGCAAAGCATATTATGTTTTCTCAATGCAAGTAAGTGGTACATTCATTTTACTTTACTTACTACGTGTCTAGACTAGGGTAGATAAGTGGGGAGAAGGGGTTGGAGTTAATAAGCTAAGCTTCTTCTCACTCCTTTTCGAATGTGTATGTTCATGATGAAATGTTTTTGTTTTACTTTTTCTTTTCTGCTTCATTCTTCTTCTTCCATATTCCCAATAAACTTGAACTTGAACTTGTATATTCATTGCATTCACATGTCTTTATTCAAAAGTCTTGCAATACTGGCCCTCATTATTATGATTTAAGAGGCAATTTATTTATTTTTACTATTTTTTCTATGTCATAAGCTGAGACAGGTACAGGCAGGGACTTGGAAACTTTCAGTAAATGGTGAAGACAGATGTAAGCCTTCCTGAAAGCAAGGGTTTATGGATTATATACCATGATGATCAAAGGTCATGACTGATAACTTCAGGAAAAAGGACACTTTATCTATAATACAAACATCAAATGAGCTCAACTGTCGTTTGTGGAGGACAGATTAGATTTTCCCTAGTGCTTGATCAGTGTTTAAGCCAGAGTATCCAGAGGGACAGTCCAAACCATTAGAGACTGGATTATTTTATCAGTCTGGAGGTCTTTAAAACTAGGATTAAGGATTCTCTGATGAGTGAATGTACATGTTTTACTGTTGAAAGCTGTAATAATTTATTGATCGCTGTATTTGATTATGTTTTTGTAAGTTGTTTGTCCTGCACTGTGTGAAACTTTTTGTCTAGGCCAGGACTGCCTTGAAAAACAGAGTTTTAAAAAACAGAGAAAAGTCCTGATAAAATAAAGGTCACATAAAAATACCTGTTATCGTGAGTGAATACAAGAATAGAGCCACTACCAGGTTGGCAGAAAGAAATGTATATACAGCTGCAGTAACATTACACCCAATTACTCTCCAACCAAAAGATACTGTTTCTGAACATCAAGCTCTGCATAGAACATAAGGATAACACATTTCAAGGATACATTTTAGATTATGAGTATTTTCATTTTACTGATTGTTATCCTTTAATATTTCTGTTTTCTTTTTCTCTGACAAAAATGGTTCAACAAGGGCACTCTCGAGAGATAAAGAAATCTTTAACTGAAGAGAGGTTGAAACGATGCAAGTTAAACTGTAACTGCAGTAAAATGAGCCAGGGCTGATGGCAGCAGGAAAATCCCAGAAACCGCTCAGATTTGAGGACGCAAAATCATTACTGAGTCCAGTGGAGTGTGCAGTAAACTTCCATCAGGTGTGCTACCAGGTTATTCCTAGTTAAAAGATACAATCCATAAACAAACGTGAGGGCCTCTAAAAAAATTGGCTTTTGTTCAATCAATCATCACCTGTATAAACTTTAATAAAGCTACAGTAAACTATTCAGTCAAACCGGCGACAAAGTAAACAAGTAATTGATAAATCTGTGAACTATGTGGCCCCGTAATTTCACTCTGCTATGATTCTGTGTGTGTATGTTTCCTTTTAATATTTAATAGGTATGAAAATAATGAATGACTTATTAAGAGTCAGAGTTTCTTGCAGCAGCCAACATGCCACACATATTGTTCATGGTTTCCTTTTAGCTTTTTCCGGGAGAATAATTTTAGTCTCCAGAAAGCACACTGAGCTAAATGGTGTCGACACTGTGTATAAATTATTAATTTAGAGAGAATTGCCGTTTCACAGACTCACTCTGACAGCTGTCTAAACTAGGTCAGTGAAACTTGGAGAGTGAAAGCTTGTTTCTATTAGTGGCACATTCCCCATTTCTGTCCAAAAATCACTGATAAAATTTGTCAGGCCACGAGGCTCGTGTCTGCACGCTGCTGTCATGTGCGGTTCACAGACAAACAAGTGATAAGGGGCATGTGCTGCTGATACTGTAAAATATTTACCGGAGTATTTATCGCTCATGAGAAGGACAATAGTCAACAAAAGACAAGGAATTAAAAGGCTGCAGCTATTTGTTATATATTATCAATACATTTGCAACTGTTTTTTTTTTCACTCAGATAAAATTTGCATTATCTTATTTTTTTTAAGGTAAACTGAAGCACAGCAAAGGGGAAGAGGAATGAAAAAGGACATTTATTATGAGCGAACTGCAGCATTTTTCAAACTTGAATTAAATTAACTTTAAGCATCAGCAAAAATGAGCTAAAAGACTGATGAATTCATAGTCAACATTCATGTTCAACCTTTATCACAGCAATTTTCTTTGGGCAACATGCCGTCTCAATGCCATTAGCTGATGACTACAGTTAAAAACTTGTTGGCTTATGAAAACCCTTACTGGTGTATATCCTTGGCCGTTCCTAAATCCATTTATGGCTGATTGTCTGTTTACTGTAAGTCTCACTGTTTGCTGCAGTCCGCCACACCAAATTAAAAAACATAATTTTCTGTCATTAAAATTGTTACAGGAACTGTATGGGATTTACCCAGAGGACTCTTTCTGAAATAACAAAATAAGTGTGTGTGTTTTGGCACTAAAATGGTGCAGGTGAGCTCACACCAGCACAGGGGCAAAGTTGTTTTTGGCTCATTCCCATATGTACAGCCACTTAGACGAGAGGTGATTAAAGGTCTGTTTACAGGAATGAGCATTTATGAGCTGCCAGTTAGCATGACTCACAGGAAATCTTATTTATACCTATTCATACAATTAAGCTGACTATGATGGATTTTTCTGACTCCTTGCCTCAATATATATGTTTGTTTTGCTTGGATCCCTACGCGTGTTTTAAGCACACTGTAATGGAGCTCAAAGGTTAAGTTGCACGTGTATTCTTTTTTTTTTTAGTTTCTTTATTTAGTTTGTCAAATATCTGGGACCTTCTGTGTGAGAGGGGGTTGTTGTGGAAGTATTGACTATCCTACCCTTTGATAAAAAACAAAATTGTAGATAAATGTTGGACCTGGTCAGACAGGGGCATAGTTTTATTTATTTATTTTTGGGGGTGGGAGGGATCATATTGCTTGTTTCTCATCCAGAAAACACTTAACCCCAGTTCGAAGTGGTGCTTCGGAAAGTTTTTTATTTTTTAACATTTGTTCATTTTTGATGGGGGTTCCCATAAGTACGAAAGAGAATAAGGACCACTGGAAAAAAAGGTCCAACATATACATATTTTTATTATTCTGAGGAGGAAAAAAAAGTCTGAATTCTGAGATTAAACTAAGAAATCTGACTTTAAACTAAATAAAAAAAATATATATATATATATATATATAAATTGGACCTTTTTTTGTTTCTAGTGGCCCTAATCCTCTTCTGTACATAAGTTTTTAGTTTGATGCCCCAAAAGTTTTGAATTATTTTTTTTTGGCAAAAATAGACAGACAGGTCTAAATCTTCACAAGGTTTCTGCTCATTATTACTTTTCATGCCAAAATAAGATTGAGAGCGGTGTTGGGTTCTCTTAGGTGGTCTTGGACATTTAATTACCTGTAGCAGAAAGATCTTGTGTGTTTTGTTGAGGGATTGTTCTTGATAAATTGCTCCTATTGTCTTCATTTCTCTAACTGTGATTTCTTTGCTCTTTCTGTGTGTGTTAGTTTGTGGAAGTATAGATCCCTGTCCAAACTCTGGCCCAATAGTCTTCCAGTGTACTCAAACCAGAAATAAGCAAAAACTCCCGACCAGCCGGTTGTGATGAAGCACCAAAATGTTGTTTCTCAACCATCACAAGAGGTGTGGTTTGAAGAAAAACTGATGCACTTCTGTGTTTTTGTTTCACCTCAGCCCTTTTCCCTGCAGGAAAAATTAAAGACCACTGCTAGATAAGCAGACAACAATAAGTTACCAAAAAATTATTCCTGACTCTCTGTGTTTTTCACACAAACATTCTTAGATTTTAGCATTGTTGCTTTCTTTTTGACAAAACCTCTTTTATTTCTCACAAAGGGAAGGGAGTCTGAGCTGCACTAAAACACAGGCAAAGCTTAAAGATTATCTTTATTTTTAGGTAATCCAAAATCCAATGGCCAGGTAACTGTGACATTGGTCAATCCTGGTTTGTCATCAAATCTGATAAATCTTTAAACAAATTTTGACAAGTTTCCTGATAGAAGGTTTATGTGTAACCACAGTTTATTTTATTTAAACATATTACATGAAGCCTGTAAACAGTCAACAGTCTCATCTAGCTTTTTGATCCATTGAGTTAAACACTATAGATTTCATATATTGCAGGTTTTATAGGGCACTTTGTTTAGACTTAACCAGAGCAGAAAGTGTAAATCTTCAATTGTGTTACATCTGAAAAGCTAAATAGGGTTACATGACTGCTGCATGATGTGACACAGCTATTTAAGAAAAAAGAGCGGCTCAACTGTAACATGCTTATTTCTGAGTTGCAGATAACATAGATTTCAGTTCTTTTACATTTTATGGCTGGTAAAGGTTTATGTCATAAGGTAGTCATCTGGTCCAGCAGCAGGTGTTCATAGCTATTTGTTGCAGGGGGGACTAAAATCTCACATAATGTTGTGAGGCACATCCTCCACAAGACCATGTGAACCAATTGTATCTATCTGTCAAGAGGGAAAAGTCAGTGGGGAAGTTGTGTGTGTGTGAACAGGTGGAAATATCTTCAGGCAAGTGTTAACTGGGTCAGCAACCTTAAATGCTCCAACCGCTTATCTTTAAAGCCAGCGAGGATGTCCTGGACACAGCATAATGATCAAGACCTAGCTCCATTTAAAAAAAAAAAAGGTTCTGCATTTTTAAAACCCACATCAGTAACATTCAAGCTATGCAATTCTAATATGGGGTCTCAAGGGACACATAGAGTAACGTTTTACTTTGAGTTATAAAAACAATAGTGCACCTTCATTGATAAAAAGTCAAAGTTCTTGAAAAACTTAAAATTGGCCCAATTTTGGTCATTTTCCTGTTGAAGTCATGCTCAGAGTGGTTTAAGTCTTCTTTTATCATTATGTATTATCATTATTACAGTATTCCTGGTCATCTATCATATAAACCTTAATATTATGGCAAACTGTAGTCATTTCACAGCACCGTGATTGATGAGGAGCCACACAAAGGAAAGAGCTGATTAGGAGAGAAATCAGGAGGATATTAAAAAACCCACATTTGACCGCCTATTAGCCAACATTAGGATACAGCTAACATTTGCACTCAGCCCCTTACAGTTACCATTCAAAAATCATACAACAGGGGAAAGACACATTTGTTAAGCATTTTACTGATAAATACTTTAAATGTGTTTATGTCACTGTCTATTTTAGATCATGTTAACTAGCCAACAGTTCAATACAATTCTGTGTAGGTGTCTTCAACATCAGGATAAATTGCCTCAATTCAGTAGCTGTACTTATTTGAAGATTAATAGTATAGTTTGATGACGTATTTGAAATACATAGCAGATACACAAGTAACATTTCTTATCCTATTCACAGATCATGTCTTATTATAATGAGGGTAAGACTGCTGTGATGGTTTGATCAGTGACCCTGTGCACCAGCGACTTTCAGCTGAATGATCATAGACTGAAATAATTAAGATAAGAGGTTGTCATGGTAACAGTCTGAAAATCCTCAATTTACAGGATCTCATATTTAAGCCTGACACCAACATGCTTGGGTTTAATATGTGTACTCAGCATTACTGGCTTGATAATATAATTCAAACACAGACACCAACATAAACATTAGCTCTTCTAAAATAGCCATCAATAAAATAGTGAAGGTAATTTGTTTCCTGTTGTATTTGTGGATTTTGAACTTTAACTAGTAAGTGGCTGAAAGCTAATGCTAGCTGTGTTCTGATGTTTGTGAAAGGGTAACAAATAGGTTAAAACACCACAATGGCTGAGTTTACATGGACACATAAACAAACAAACAAACAACAACAACAAAACGATCGGAATAAAAATGCGTCACGTAAACATGAAGATTCTGATCCGATTTGGCTCAATCGGAGAGAAATTGTATTCCGATCGAGAGGGGTTGGTTCATGCCGATCCTTATTCAGAAACGCGTCCATGTAAACACTTATTCCTATCATGACTCTCTTACCTGACCCGGTCTTCAGTCTTTAGACTTGGGCTTATTGATTGAGGCAGGTATAGGAGGTGTCATTATTAACACTCTGGCATAAAACACAACCACACTTGCCGTGTCTGCTCCTCCGGTAACATAACAAGGCCTACACACAGCGTAATGACGTCACATCCGCACGCACAGTGCAACCCTTGAAAGAAAGGTAACATCAGTAGGCTACGCAAGGGCGCCGCGCCGACCGGTGACAACATTTATTAGGGGGAAACTCCTGAAGTTGTTGGATTGAGCCACTACCGCGACGGTGCAGGCATAAATGCAGCTCTTCTTCTGTGGTTGTTTTAGCGAATTTAGACAACTCTGCGCATGTCCAAATGCTTCTAATCTGAATAAAGTTTGGTACATATACCCTCGCCATGATCGGATTGATTTTGTACCCATGTAAACTGTGGATTCAGATTATCCGATCCCTCAAATTTATCATCGGATCAAGAAATTTTGCCGGTGTATGCACGCAACAATCCACCTTGGGCTCGACGTCACAAGAAGATGGCCGCCACAGGTAAAGTAGTGGCCCAAAGTTTGGCCACATTTCACCAAAACTGAAATTAAGAATAAAGTGAGATGCAGCAGCCTACCTTCGACTGTTTGTGGATTAAAACAACTTCGTCAACTCCAGCTGCCGTTTCTGCTAGTACTGCAGCGGGACTACCATCCTCCTCTTCACCCAAGCAGCCCAGGTAAGCACAGATAGAGTTTGTTGCAGGTCCCATTGGTTAAAATCATGATCTAGTGTTGAAATCCGCACTGAAGTCCATGTAAAAAATCAGCAGGATTAAGAGATGGTGAGCTACCTAGTTTTTCCACGTATAATGCATTGTGAGGTGTTTGAGGTCGGGTCGGTAAAAGGAGAATTCTGTGAAAATAATACTACATTTCCATCACGTGTTTGTATGTCATATGCAGATTTTGGGGAAAAAATCTGTACAATTACAGAGGAAAACAATAATAAAAGAAAAGTCTCCATTGTTAAAGCATTCTTATTTTATCATTCTCTTAGTGCATTTAAATATCTAAATTGCTTACTTGATTAAAAAAAAGTTAAACTGATCTTTTAATACAGCACTCTTGGCAAATCAGTCAGCCAAAATATTTGTATGAACTGTATAAAGATCATTTTAAAGTTTGCTCAAAGTGATTAGGAAAAGTTGTGTCCAAAACAGAGGAATCCGATAACTATTTTAATTTTTACACAAGCTTCTTTTCCCAGTTGCCCTTTCACTACCCATCTTTGGCAAACCTCTTTTACAGCAATACTGACCTCTGTGGGAGAAATGATTTTCTTTTCATGTCTTTTTGCATGTTATCTTGGACAGGCTGTTTGCTTTCCCCTTACATTTTTGATAACAGTAGAGATGTAATGATCAGTCGATATTAACAGGTCTTTCTATTAAGTGTATGTCAGGGCAATAGCAGCAGATGATCAGTTGGACGTACTCTAAGTGATAACCTGCAATAGTGGTAAGAATATATCTTGCTGTTTTGGCAATACTGGTTTCCTGGCACTAGAGGGCAGTGAGTGCCAGCAGAAGTTTTTTGTGTAACACTAAAAAGCACAGGGCTACAGTATCCAGAGTTTATATCCTACATTCTTGTTTGTGTCAGCGTGTGTTTGATGTGTGGGAAAGTGATAATCATTGAGACTGTGTCTGCGCTGTTGTAAAAGTGGGTCGGAACTACATAGTTCCTCTGCCTTGATTCCTCTCTTCATATGTCATTGTGGTTTCAGGACACTTATTTCCCTTTTATTTCCCTATTTTCCCATTCAGATATTTTAGTGTACACCAAAATAAATGTTAAATTTAAAAGAAAAACACACACACAATTTGAGATGATGGAAAATGTGCCACTAAAATACCATAAAAAGAAGGGAAAGAGTTTGTATTTTTCTGCCAAAACCTTACTTATTTTCGAAGTAACTTTTAAAATAACATTACAAGTGTAACAGATGAAGCCATAAAGCATTCATGCCCAGCATCTATTTGACAGACGCTGTCAGGCTGGGAGAGATAACCAAACAAGCACAAAATGTTCTCAGCATTATATAAATATTTCATCAAGATTTAAATGAACAGCTTTGGAAACTAACTTGTTTCTATCTGAACAGGCTGTTGTTTCAACGTCTACATCAGAATAATTGCTGTTTTTTTCGAGCCCCCCAATAACCCTGAGGTATGAACACTTTATGTGCTTAAGTTTTCTGCAGATGGGTTCCACACTTTTACGCCAAGACTATCATAGAGCATCATTCCTTCCTCGCTCTTCTCTCATATGTGCGTTTGATCCTCTGCCTCAGGCTCCGATTGGTCAAGACTTCAGGGCCAGGGAGACTCAAATCCTCTCATTGGCTGGGGAGATACAGCACATAATCCTAAGCCTCTCTCACCCTCTGAGGATTAAATTTGCTGTCCACTCATCTTTCAGAAGTTTGCTCGGTTTGTGGAAAAAAATGAAGCACAAACTCTTTACAGCCAATCTCTCATCACAGGAACATACAGCATTGAGACTCAAGTGGCGAGTATTAGTTTGCTGAAGGAGATTCGGGCCATGAGTTAAGCCCGGCAAGTAATTACTGTTGTCAGGATGCAGAGGTCTTAGCTCTCTTCCTTCTGACTGTCAAGGCTCAGGCTGATACACTCACACACTCTTTTCCTATTCAACTTTGATTCTATATGCTTAACTCTTTCCTATTTTTCTTAAACATCTCTTCCTCTGTGCCTCAGCGTGTCTTCCTGGCTGAGGAAACTTGTATTGACTCAGTGTCAGATCCTTCCACTGTTTGCGCAGAGCTTTGGCTTAACGTCAGATTTTCTCATCATGGATCAGACATTCACTGTCAGTGGTATGACACAGGGCATTTTCTGTGGGCAATTTGGATCGTGATTCCAGCATATCTTAGTAAATGCATTTACAATCTTTTACTTGTAGGAAACATTTGAATTTATTTATAATATGTATTGCAGTCCACATGAAAAAAAAGGCAATACACTTGACTTTGTGTTTGAAAATAAAAGACAGTATAGATCGATCTGCTGATATATAGTTTTAAAGGCAGAGATTCATACTCCAGTCACGACTCCTTTCACTCCAAACTGTCCACATCGCTAATCATGGAACTTTTATAAATTGCCCAGAAACGTGGCATAGCTAAACTCGATCATATGGCCTCAGGTGTTTCTTTCAACAAAATCAGAGGTGTTGATTAATGTGAAAACATTTCAACCGTATCCATATCGACACACACTGCAATAGCCCAGCTGTGCCTGTCCCGCCTCTATGATTCTGTGCACGAACAAATCACCAAATGGAGCAAAATGCTAATAGCAATCTATAAAGTATTGACTATCCCTAATAGGGGCAAAATAAATGACACAGCTCCTGCAATAAGCATGCAGTAAAAGGCCTGTCACACTATTAATGTGTTTAATCCCACGCACTTTACTGAGTTTATTTCCAAACCATCTGTAGTGTCATTTAAGGCCTAAAATTTACAGCAATTCTATCTGCTCATGCCAGACACAAACCCTTTAATAACCAAACACAGGTCCAGTAAAAAGTGACTATGAATATACACTCACCGGCCACTTTATAAGGGAACACCTGTCCAACTGCTCGTTAATACTTAATTTCTAATCAGCCAATCACATGGCGGCAACTTAGTGCATTTAGGCATGTAGACATGGTCAAGACAATCTCCTGCAGTTCAAACCGAGCATCAGTATGGGGAAGAAAGGTGATTTGAGTGACTTTGAACGTGGCATGGTTGTTGGTGCCAGAAGGGCTGGTCTGAGTATTTCAGAAACTGCTGATCTACTGGGATTTTCACGCACAACCATCTCTAGGGTTTACAGCGAATGGTCCGAAAAAGAAAAAATATCCAGTGAGCGGCAGTTCTGTGGGCGGAAATGCCTTGTTGATGCCAGAGGTCAGAGGAGAATGGCCAGACTGGTTCGAGCTGATAGAAAGGCAACAGTGACTCAAATAACCACCCGTTACAACCAAGGTAGGCAGAAGAGCATCTCTGAACGCACAGTACGTCGAACTTTGAGGCAGATGGGCTACAGCAGCAGAAGACCACGCCGGGTGCCACTCCTTTCAGCTAAGAACAGGAAACTGAGGCTACAATTTGCACAAGCTCATCGAAATTGGACAATAGAAGATTGGAAAAACGTTGCCTGGTCTGATGAGTCTCGATTTCTGCTGCGACATTCGGATGGTAGGGTCAAAATTTGGCGTCAACAACATGAAAGCATGGATCCATCCTGCCTTGTATCAACGGTTCAGGCTGGTGGTGGTGGTGTCATGGTGTGGGGAATATTTTCTTGGCACTCTTTGGGCCCCTTGGTACCAATTGAGCATCGTTGCAACGCCACAGCCTACCTGAGTATTGTTGCTGACCATGTCCATCCCTTTATGACCACAATGTACCCAACTTCTGATGGCTACTTTCAGCAGGATAATGCGTCATGTCATAAAGCTGGAATCATCTCAGACTGGTTTCTTGAACATGACAATGAGTTCACTGTACTCAAATGGCCTCCACAGTCACCAGATCTCAATCCAATAGAGCATCTTTGGGATGTGGTGGAACGGGAGATTCGCATCATGGATGTGCAGCCGACAAATCTGCTGCAACTGTGTGATGCCATCATGTCAATATGGACCAAGCTCTCTGAGGAATGCTTCCAGCACCTTGTTGAATCTATGCCACGAAGAATTGAGGCAGTTCTGAAGGCAAAAGGGGGTCCAACCCGTTACTAGCATGGTGTACCTAATAAAGTGGCCGGTGAGTGTAGATGATACATGCATGTACCAGGTTTCCTCATTTATTTCCTAATTCAACAGTAGCATAAAGTGGACCAGATATTTGGATATGTTTTTGTTGAAGGTTAGAAAGCAAAGGGGATGCTTAAGCAACAGAATATCCATGTTTTTAAAGTTAGATACATTTGAAGAGATAAATCTTTGGTTAAGAAAGTGAGAAAATGTAAGTAAACCAATAAGGTTAGGGTTAGAGTTTGGATCAGAGTCATAAGAGACTATATCTATGACTAGTGGACTTTTCATTTGTCCCCAAAGGGCCAATCCATTCAAACAAATAACAGTAGGAGTGCAGTTAAAGTGGAATTGGCTCCAGCACTCTCTCTGATTGACCACCCAAAGAGTTCTGTGTTTAAGGGAAGGCCTCCACTACTCACTGTCCTCCACGTTCATCAGCATTGATCAGCCCTTTCTGCCTCTCAAAGTCCACCTCCTCCTGGTAATTTACAAATGGATATGTTTATCTACAACTTCATCAATAAGAGTGATGAGGAAGAAATGAGTAAAAATGGATTCTGGAGGGGCTTGGATGCATACCTCTTAGCCTGGCTCTGCTTTTTTCTGTCCCCTTCACACCTTTCCACAGTCTATACTTGTAGTTTTTCTTGCCTTTTCTCCCTCATTTTCTCCTTTATGAAATTTGGGAAGTTGAGGGAGGTGCAACCAAGAGTGAGCTCTAGCCGAAACAGGCTTCTCACGGTGCATCTGTCTTACCTGTCCTCCTCACTTTTCGACATGTTCTTCTCTGTCTTCACTTTTTTTTCTTTTCACTTGTGATTGCATTACGGATGAGAGCCATATAAGTGTACACTATTTTGAGGTGTTGTGAGACTAGCTAATGAAACACAGTGAAGGCAGGTACTCACTTGTCAACCTGTATGATGTGCTGGCTATTTCTGCCAATTTACATAAATCTTCTTGCTTAGATTGTAGCGCCAAATCACAACTGCTGTTACTCCAAAACACTTTCCAAAAGAGCAGGTTTAGACCACACTTATTGTTTGATGTAGTACAAGACCCAGGCTTAAGGACAGATTTGACCCATCCCTTGCAACATCAGTGACAATGGCAAAGAAAGACTTCCCTTTGTGGGGCCCATTAAAGTAGCCTGGCTGGGCCATCCTGTTGCGTGAATCACTTGCCGTTCCTTCCCACAACAGTCTGGACTTCGGCCAGTTGGGAGCGTGTATTAGAAATCAGAAAATAACCGGGCCAATCAGTGATTGTGTTTCCACTGTTCCCCGGACAACAGGGAAAGGCAGCCCCTGAATGGTCCTGTGTAGATGGTACGACAAGATTATGACACGGACAATATCGGTGCTACCATTCATAGACTGAAAACCCTAATGACAAAACCAAAACTTTCTCTGAGATTGTCAGATTTCTGTTGGGAAGGTAGGAGTTGCATTAGTTTACTGTGATTGTGATTTAGATGTGACCACTAAGCATGTATCCTTTCTGTTGAAGCACAGGTACCTTGTGGTTATCTTAAAAAATAGTTGTCTTTTCTAATTGTCACCAGAGTAATAGGGCTGATCCATTCGAGCCCATTTTTGTAGGAGTGCAGTTAACCTGGGGTTGGCTCGAGCACTCTCCCTGATTGACCGCACAGAGTTTTGTGTTAAGGGGGGGCCTCCACTACCCACTGCCCTCCATGTTCATCAGCATTGATCAGCCCTGTCTGCCTTTAAAGTCCACCTCCTCTTGGTTAATTACAGCACTCTATCTTCACTTTATCTACAACTCCACCTCTAAGAGTGATGAGGGACGTGGGTAAAAATGGATTCTGGACTGAGTTAAAAAGCCGCTCATGCTTCTGAAAAGTGCGAAATTGTGACAGCTTTGTGACGGGCTGACGCCACTGATGAATGCATGTTTGTTTGCTCCTCGGGCGAGTTGTGGCACTCAGTGTTTGTTTGGTCAGTCACAGAGGATGTGTGTCCTCAGAGGGTGAACACGCCAGCCTTCCTTGTCCACACTACACGTTTACTCATACTTTTTGGGTCATTAAAATGGTGACACATCAGTATTTAAGAATCATTTGGGCATAAATTATTTGGAGTGAGTGACTAAGCCCCACATAGAGGGAGTACTAATCCTGTGTTAGCAGATATTTCTACTTCACTACATTCTCTGACATAATAACACTTAAGCAGTTTAGACTATTTCTTGCGTTTTTACAAAGAAAAATCTGCCTGCAGTAATTCCCTCAAGCCCCAAACTACAACTCACCATTTTGCATTCAGCTGAAAAGTTGTACTCAACATGACTGGATAAAAAGACATGCTGCTCCACAGCTCCTGGGTCCTGTCAATCACTGTTAATTAAGTCCATCGCTTTTTCCATGGAGAGGTCCTTACTCTTTTTTTTGGACCGACACCATTAGATTACACAGCAGGGGGGCTGGAGTGTATCCACGTGCACAGTCACACAGTCACACTTTGCTGTGGGATGGTTTCATTTTTGTTTTTTCCACATGTGCTGAGTGTTGAATTTGATGAAGACTCAGGTCATCTACAAAGGAAAAGCAGCCTGTCTGTGGCTGTTTGTGTGGAATTTATCCTTTGTATTATTTCTCTGTATTTAAACAAAGAAAAGAGAATATTTATCGTAGTTTCCTTTTTGTACTCTCTGTTTTAAGTTTCTATTAGACAGTTTCTTTAGAGTGAAAGATGTCTTTTTATCTCAGCTCAGTTGTAGTAACACTGAATTAAAATTGATAAGTATATTGGATCAAATTATGGATTATGAAATGAGTTGAATGTCAAATATTTTAAGATAAATACTTAAAAGCAGCTTCTGACTGAAATGGTTTTAACTTAAAGGGATAGTCCGGCGTAAAATTAATTTAGGGTCAAATAGACCGTAACACCGAGTTAGACATCCCCTTGAGAGATGAATGTTGCCGACTACTTGCTTCACAGCGGTCTGAGGAGCCACACACAAACTTCAACCAAAAAGCCACTCTATAGCCACAAATAATGCTCAGAACAGCACCTAACTTCATCAACAGTACATACAGGGTCCCAGCCATAACACTAGCCACCAAACATTTTTTCAGCTTTGCCTATTACTGGAATTTATATGAGTTGTTTTATATTCAAAAAGTAATCAGATTCTGGAAACACTACAGTAATGACTTGGAGATGATTAATAAATATCAGAGTATTTGATAACTGCCGTTGTCTTTGCTGATTCAATTCTTCACCAACTGCAGAGCAAAGTGGGCACCTATCCATGACTGCTCTATGATGTGCAGCCTATTTTCTACAGTCTGTCAGAACTGAAGCACTATGGATAAATACAAATAATCATAATTGCTATTACTGGAAAGAGTCTGATACTGGAGTTCTTACCAGAACTCAGTCTCTTCCCTGAAAACCGTAGCTTTTTAATCCAATCCTGCCCCAGATAATTGACTTCAATTTGTACCGAGAGAACAAATTTAGAGAAATATTGAGACAGGACTATCTTGGGTAATGCAGTTTGTCTGTGGCGATTAGATGCCGAGGCTTGACTCCCCCCAATCATCCAGACTTGTGTTCAAAACATCCAAGTATAACATTTTCTGTAAGATTAAAAAGAAATGACAGTAACTTGCAACAAACATTTCTGTTTGAGTTAAGTCTAATAGGCTCACATCAGAGAACTATGCAGGTGTCAGACATATAATAAGCTTCCTGAGGATGAGATTCAAATTGAAATGTAAAAGGGATGTCACATTTATAAAATAAGGGCTGTTAGCATTAGTGCCTGAATCCAGATTGGATTAAGGTCAGAAATTAACGTGTCAATTCTCTTCAATCATGTGTTATTTACACACTGTGAGCTCCTGGAACATCATCCTGCTATTACTGTGACGGTAAATAACCACACCACTGCACTTTTGAATAGTACATTCACTTTTGAAAGCTCCCAGACAAGGGAGTTTACCACAGTTAACTTTGAAAGTTCTGTGTTAGATTGCAGCTTTTTGACAACTTTCCTTGATTTAATGCTTTATAACAATAACTCAAGAACAGCTTTTGCTCATATGTTTTTGTCTTTACTTATAAATGTCTTTATTGACTCACAAAGCCTTTTCTTTTGTGAGTGCTTTCTAAGGGTTTCCCTTAGTCCCCACATGCTGTGAGTTAAACACACGTTTGAAATCTAATATCTTCTTGGGGGGAACCTCCTCAAAGGCCCAGGACTCTGTAAGTGTGAAAACATCCTCACCTCTCACCTCTCTCCTTGTGTGGTTTGAAGGCTACCATGCTAACTTTAGCCACAAAAACCTTTGGTGTACATTTCCACAGATGCCGCATGAGCGGTGGGATAGAAAGGCTGAGTGAAGTTTGGCAGTGCTAGTGGTACTGGGTAACTGAGGGGTCAAAAGTCAAGACAGCTGTGGCAGATTACAAAACTGTGTGAAACTGTGTCGAGATAACTGACTTTAAAGGGAAATAACGTGTATTTTCTCACAATGCTAAAGGACAGTTTCAATGGTGCATTTTTGGTGTGGGTTAATTTGTGCATGCATGGGTTTTCTATGGACTTATGTGTGTGTGTACTTGTGTGTGTGTTTGTGTTTGTTTGTGTGTGTGTGTGTGTGTGGAGGAGGAGAAGTGCTGCTGGGTCACTCAGTGTGACAGAAAAACTATTTGAGTCCTCATGGCTTTGATGTCTGTCCAACAACACAGTGCGATCTTGTTCTGTTGGGCTGCTGGGTTGCTGGTGGTGAGAGGCAAACAACGTTTCTGTGCAGCACTCTCAGTCCTCAACATGTTCACTGTGGAGTTTCCTCTACTTCTCCACTTTGTCAGATTAAAAATATTGATAAATCAATGAGGCAGCCTTCCACAATCTTTGACTTACCTTGGAATATTGCATATTTCACAGCCTTTTACTGTTCAAATCCTGGAAATAGCTTCCATTTTTATTGGGTATTTTGTTATACTTGTGTTCTTTCATCCGTATGTTACAGACACACCTCTTTTTCCCACTCTTTTCCACCCCAGCTCATTTTGTCTCTTCCGAGAGGACTGACAGTTTGTGAGATTGTTTGGGAACCATGACAACGAGCGGTCCTGACCCTCGGGTTCTGGAAGCGAGGGAAGGTCTCTTCTTGAAGGGGTCATTAAGAGCCTGTCAGTCCACAAATTGGGAATGCTGTGGTGAAAATAAAGGGAGAGTTAGAGTTAATGTGCTGTCACTTTACACCTACCTGCCACAGGTCTCACATCCAACCTCCTAACAGCCAGACAGGGCTCCTTTCCAGCACTGAGTTACACACTCTGCTGCACTGACTGTTTTGGCACCTAAACACTGTGTATTTCTCTCTATATATTTCACTAACAGTGCTGTACTGAGGATGAGTATATATTCTATAGGCTCTCTGCATCAAACACACTTCCATTTTCTTTCTCTTGCAGCTTAATGACAAGACCACAAAGAGTTTGCTTTGGCGTGTGTCCTTTTCACTGCTGTCAAACACCTGAGATTGAAAAGAAATAGCATTTTTGCACTAAATAAGAATTATACACGTGTACTCAGTTTTGAGCTTTCTTCAAGAAAATATCCCAAAGTGCTACTAGAGGGAAAAAAAGCTGGGTTTGATTTGAGAACACACAGAAAAGCAGACAGAAATGCAAATGAAGACACAGTTTGAAGTTGATCTTGATGATATTACTTCTGGTTGTGGTGTGTTTCCCTGACAGGAATCCTGTATTTCTTTCTTCAAAGGACACCGCTTTAGTCACAATTTCCCTCGTGGTCATTTTTGCTTACTACTTCAAAAAAACAAACAATGAATCATTTTCAGGTTATTTTTCCTGTGGGGAGCACGCAGATTTTATTTTTTTCTGAGTCAGAAGTGTGACAAAATGTTTCACTTCAAAGCTCCTGTGAAGTATAGCTGGTTTCGAAACTAATGAGAATTAACAGGGATGCCTCTTTGACCTATAAAAGTGAACAGGACCACCAGCGACAGGATTAACTATTTCGGAGAAGTGGTTTTTATTAAAGTGGTAAAAAACGTGCTTATAGCCTTTGCTCTACTGTTTGCGCAGTAAATATTCACAATAATTGATACATCAAACTGTCAAAAGAAAGCAAAAAAGAGTTTTTATCGCAATAAACACTACCTATACACATACAGGTCAAGATCGACACAAAACAAGAGGCATCTCTTTGTTTATAGGGGTGCTAAAATTGGGTGAAGACAAAGGTTTGGAGTTTTTCATGTTTGAATGTATTCATGTTCATTAAACTCCTCTTTACAATGAAAAATAAGTGTACATTCATACTGTTATTAAAGTGTTTTTCTCTTTTAGTCAGGTCGATTGATCAAATGTATGATTTCATTTAAACCACTTATGAATTTGAACTCCGGTGCATTCTGCAGATGAGCTGTTATTAATAGTTATGGGCACGGCAGTTCTGTTAGATGAACTGAATCACTAGAATCAGTTCACTAAAAAGATTCGTTCAAAAGATTTGTTCATCAAATCACTGAATCATTCAGTGCTTGGCGGGAGGAGCCTGTGACTCTGACCTCCTGAACTGATACACAGCTGAACGGTTCAGGATTCAGTTCAATTCATAGCTTCTGGGACCCGTAGACAAGAGTGTTTGGCTGTGTTGCTTTGGCAAACAGGTTTGTAAAAAGGAACTTGTTAATAAATCAGGATGTTTTAAGTGTACTGTCCTATGATATGCTATTTATCAGGTCTGCTCAGGAAATTGGGCTCAATGAGTGATTCGTTCACTGAAGGTTTAGAAGAATTCACACTGAACATGCACCGTTCCCTCACAAACCGCTGCAATGATAGAATGCTGCGGGTTTTATGCACTACTTGTTACATGCTGTGTCCTTTTGTTTGCAAGTTGTTGCGGTGGCAATTTAACAGTAAAACAAACAAAAAAAAATGTGATTCCCTTACCAAGTGATTCAGGTGTCTGTGCATGTGGTCCCTCGTTCACTGGCTGCTCGCCTGGCAATACTGCATGCTATAGCATCTGCCCTGCTGACAGCTCAACTGAAGTGAGAAACGAACAAATCATTTGAGGAAGTGATTCGATTGAGTACGTTCACTTCAAAGATTTGGTCCTTTTGAACGAAGCGTTTGCGAACGACACAACACTAGTTAATAACCACATCCACCTCAGAATAATCTTAGTTAATCTTTATGATGGTGGTCTTGTTTGCTTTTGTCACTCACATGGGGGCTTCAGTACTAATGTTGGTTTGTTTCATAACCTGGAATAAATTCCTCACTGGAGCTCTACCCCTCCTTATGCTAAGGGCAACAGGATGATTAGTGTCTGCCTCAGCTGTTTAAATATCGAAGTGTAGGGTTCGAGAGTGTAATTGTTGTTTGGAGAGCTAAAGCCACAGACAATGTAACCTAAAAATGATCTTCACTTAAACAGCAACACTTTGTCTTCTCTTCCTCCAATCTTTCCCTCTATACCTCTCAATTTGTGCCCCTCCACTATCAAGCTTTTCACAGCATCCAAGCGTCTTCGCCCCCTATCTGATTCCCTCTCACCCAGTGCCAAAGCCTTTAAACCCTTCAAATCCTTCCCAATTCAATTTGAGGAAGGCGACACCGCCTTGTGGGCCTCTGCCGGCCACAGCTCTGTCTCAGACAAGGCCCCGAGATAATCACAGACCCCGCCAGGTTCCCTAATCTGTCCATGCTTCTCAAGCAGACAGGAGCAGATGCTAAGATATTCAGTTCAACCCTGCTGTGACATCGGACCTCCGCCTCAGGCCTGTACAGCTGGGCAAGGTTTTATGCTGCCCATCAGGTGTCTATATGGAGCAGTGGAGTGGGACATTTAATCAGCTTGAGAATTAAAGTGGACCATGTTAATAGATTCTTACTGCTACAGCCAGCTGGCTCACATGTTTCTGAAGTAAACAAAACACTCCAAGCTCACTTTTCAAACTTGTCACAGGGGGGATTTGGTCTAATGCTATCCTGAAATAAACCCACATCCACACGAGGATGAAATCTATTGCTGCTGGTAAAACATGGCAGAGTTTAGAGGGGTGTTTTTCTTTTAATCTTAATGTTCGATTAACAGGAATTTGAGCTTCACAGGGAAAATTTGTTCTTTTTCATGCAAGAAGGCACATTCCACAATGAAATCCAATCTGTGCAAAAGGTTAGGAAAATATATGTATATACAGTCCTACACACGTTATCTGTTAAAGAGAGAAATAGTGCCATGCAAGGCTGAAATATATTATCTCCCGAGGTTACGTTCAGAAATCCACAGCATCAGCGGAAACAGGAGTTTGGTTTTAATGCAAGCTGAGGAAGCTGAACTAATCAAGCTCTGGTATTTAACACATTTTAATCGTTTTACTGCAAAACTTCATATTTGGCAGAAATGTTATCACTGTTCATGCCTCCTCTCCTGTGGTTACTGAAATGTAATGAAAATGGCTTCATTCTCACTCACTTCCAAAGCTGTCCCTCCATCAATCTTTTTCTCATCTCTTTCTTCTTCATCTTTCAACGGTGTGAGGTTTCACGTATTACTTTGCCCCAGAGTTATGTGAACTCTATGAAGGTGTTCACAGTTTTAATGCTTGATGCCACCCGCTGTGCTCTACCCTCATATCTCCCTAAAACACATCCTGCAGTTTCTATCTCTTATCAGCTCTGTATCAGCATGAGGAGGAGTAGATACAGAAATGTGAAAAGATTTTTCAAAATTGGCTCACCTCTGGGAAGAACTGTTTGCAATATCTTGCTACACAATCTGCTTTACTTTACTGTTTTTTATAAACTTTGGGAAGCAAGCAATAAAGCAAGGACCAAAGTCTCCATTTATGACAATATGATTATTTTATCCTGTTGGCATGAGGAGGTTTTCACAGTCTCTGATTTGTGCCGGCAGTTTACTGGCTCAAACAGAGGACAATATTTGGCAAATTAAATGCTGCACTTTGGTACAGATTAATCTCCTTGAGCTCGTGCTGTGGCATTTATTCCATTATTGTGTTTTTTCCTGAATAAATTAATCTACTTGTGTGGGGTAAGCTCATTTAAAACTTAAAAAACAAAACAATTATCAGTAACCGCCACTGTTAAAATACACCTACTTATGAGCACATAGTCAGTACGTTGACATGACACTCGAGAAATCGAATTATTGCCTTACTCCGATTAAGACTGGACAACTAAAGTGCATGTAAACACCTTAGTCCGACTATAATTGGAGTTTAAGAACTCTGATTTGGACACCCAGAAAATACGATTGGACTTCAGTTTTCTCTACCATGTACCCAGCGTAGTCGGAGTATGATTGGACAATGTGCGCCACACCCCCTGTAACCCCAGGACAAAAACACCAGAGAAGAGGAGTAGTGTGCACCTCTTCTGCAGAAAAAGTAGCGCGTACATCATGTACAACAAAAACAGCGCTGTACGATGCTCCTTCTTCTTGCTTGAAAATGCCCAGCAGCAGTTGTAGCCACTTATGATGTCTGGCACGAACCAGAAACAGTGCTGCTGAAAAGACCCATATCGCCCCCTAGTTTTCGGGAGGAGGACACAGCCATGTCAATAACTCGATCTTCTCAGCTGCATGTATAGTAGTAGTCCAATTTGTGAAAAAAAATGGATTATGAGCTTGGTCCGATCAAACTGTGCATGTAAATGCACTGACTGTTAGTTTCTAAAGTTTAAAACAGAACTGTGAGCTGTCAAAAAATGAGTTTCAAGGTGTCAGTAGTCCTCAGCCTGTTGCATGAAGACTATTAACACAAGTTTCTTGACCAAACTTTTCTGAAGCCTGCAGAGCTTCATAACACAAGCATCAAAACAGACCCTGTTCTGAAAGATACCAGCCTACAACCACCAGAGCACTTCCTGCTCAGGCATTTAGGAATTGAAGCGATCGTAGGATTTTTTTTTTTGTCTTTATGTCTCTGAGATCTGAGAGTGGACATAGAGCTGAGAGACAGCAGCTGGCAGCTTCCTCCATTGACTCTGATCCTCAAAAAAAAAAAAAAAATCAGAAAAACAACAAACACATCAAAATCCTCCAAGCTGCCTAACAAAGCAGTGTTTTTAAAACTTCAGATGCTAAAACATGCTCAGTAGGAGATAAGACATCCATCCACTGAGATATTTTCATAATACATAACATACTGTATTATGCAGACTCTGGGAGCCTCTTCTGTGATCTCCATGATGTTGTTTCTTCAGCTTCCAGGCAGACAGCTGAGTGCTGATTAAAAGTTTCCAGACTTTTTTTCATGGTTGTGAATGTTAGCAAACAGCTTTATTTATTTTAACTAAATCTGCCAAAGTCAACCCAAGATAAATGAAGTACACTGAAAGAAAATCTAACATTTCTTTGACACGATGAAGAACAGAGAATTTGAAAATTGTTAATGATCCAGAAAATTAAGTATTTTGGCAGTCCAAAGTGCTCACTGATACTGAATAAACTTGTTTTTGATAGATATTTTAAACTTGGTGAAGTTTGATTTCCTAACATTGACTTCAAACTTAGCTTTCCTCCCAGCAACTTGAAAAATGGGTCGTTCCCAGTTCCAAAATGTAATTAAGTACCCCATACTGTCCCATCTGCAGCCAGCCTCATTAATTATTACTTCTCCCCAGCCTCAGTTATCCCTCTCAAATTAACTATTCATAAGGGCTGCAATGATTAACAATATGTTTAGGGCTAATCTCTATGTAAATTAAGGGAGCTTTGTAAGAGAGAGCGTAATTTGCTACTTATCTGCACACATTACTAAACACTCCAAATGGACCTCTGAGGGCAAATCAGTGTAGTGGTGGGAGTGGGTGATGTTTTATTCAGAGGAGAATATATGCTTTTGCATCCATTGTCTCATTCATTGAATTCCTTTTCGCTGGATCATTTGTAAAGCCTTTTTTTTGGTTAATTAAATCCTCCAGGTTTGACATCGATGCTTAGGAGCAAAAACCGAATCCTAATCATAAAACACGATTCTATAGGGATCAAAAATCACACAAGGTACCCTTAAATAGTCCACGGTAGTATTATCATGAGATTCACATGCAACCCTGCCACACTGAATGAGGTTTTTATATAAGAGAAGTAAATCAAACAGACATGCACAAATATCATCTTTGAAATTTGTTACTTCATATTGTGTTCAATATTTCTCCAACCACACGTGCTTTATTGCAGCATATCGGGAGAAAAACAGGATTCAAACATGTGCAGAAACAGACCAAGCGTGTGATTGTTTTCCCCTAAGCTTAGTGCTCTTCTGCTCATGAAACTTTTACCCGCCTGCTTGCAAGTAGTTTTTCAGTTTCCGTCAGTGAGTGGGCGGACACAGTCATGGTGGAATCTCTGGATATAATGGGCTACTATGATAAAGTTCTGACTGTCAGGATGTTTTCAGCCTGAGAGCTTGGTTAGCTCTTGGCTAACTGAGCTAAAGGAGGAGGAGTAATGCTGAAATTACTGCAGCCAGGAGATGTGAAGTAAGTTAAATATGGACTGAGATGGGACAGGGCTGTCAGGCATCAGCACTGTTGTGAGTAATGAATAGAAACCGTCTTATTATAACTTCACCACCATTTGCTGTAACTGGTAGTGTATCCAATTACTTGTTAGATTCAATAAGGCTGTTTCAATCACAGAAATTGAAAAAAAAGTCGTTTCTCATTACTGTATGATAAATAGCTGAATATTCAGTCATCAAACTCAGCAGCAAGGTTACGCCTTCATTAGCACAGTACCATCATTATTCTTCCCCTCCTCAAGGTCAAGGACTGAGTTATAGTTGTGAGTTGTACTCTCAGTGCAGGAAGGAGAACTCTGTCCCCCGCCAAGACTAGTATTTCTAATGTCATGAAGCACATAATCAAACAGCACTCCCACAAATCTGTGCCAGAGTCTGGTGCGGCAGTGACTCAGGAGCCACTCCCAGGGGTGTTGGAGTGGGGGTTACGGAGGGACTGTCTACCTAGGGCCCTTGTGGGGAATACAGCCCCGAATGAGCCAGAAATGCTTTGTTTTCTCTCTAAGTTTAAACTGTCACAGTAAAAACAAAAACGGTCTGATTAAATAAACAGATACTCAGAGTTTCTTTTTGGAAATAATGTCAAGTCTCTGTCCGAGGCCCCTCTTACCCTCATTGAATGCAAATGGTTTAGTTTGATATTTAGGCCGTTTCATTCATAAGTATGTTCATCAATGTTTTAGCATCAGTGTGACATTCTCCAAGAACTTTATAGAGATACTATCTCACAGTAAAAACGATAAATTATGAGGCAATAATTAGCTAATTTCCTAGAAAGCAAGTAAAGTAAAGAAGCTAATTTGATGTCATCGGATTCATTACAGTTTCCAGATTTAGATAGCTTCATGGCTGACTCCATGCTAGCTTTAAAACCTATTAACACAGTGTATGTGATGTCAAGTGACATCAGTGACAGTAGTAGCAAAGCATATTGAGCTGTTTGCTTCATGCTTGTAGAGGGTTCAGCCCTGGGAACAGATAGAGAGGAACAAGGTGTGTGTTAGAGGATGAAGGAAGTGAAGAGAACAGGGAATTGAAGGTTTCTCACTGAATAGTGAGGATGAAAAAGGAAGGGCAGAAGACGAAGTTAATAAATAATAAATAGATAATATATATTCATCATTATTGAGGTAAACTGCTCAATGTGATATTGATTTGAGGCCATATCGCCCAGCCCTAGTGTCAGGGTACATAAACAAGAAGTAAAACAGAAGTTACATTACCAAGTCAATTATTCATTCCAAATGACCTGTACCCATAACCAGTTTTTAATTCTTGCATATCAGTTTGAGAAGTTTCTGATAGATGGATAGCTCTACTTCCATAACTTCTACCAAGTACAACTTAAGTACAGCTTCAGTACCAGCCACAGAAGTAGTCATGCATCTAATGGTGACAGTTTACCTCTCTAACCAGCAGAAACTTCTGTTGTCTGTTTGAAGTGTGTCAGTGCATCCTCTACTCCGTGGCTCCTGTGTGAATCTCATTGGATCTTGTAGTTTTGGTAAAACTGTGTCACCATACCAGTCTGAAAAGTAAAAATCTGGCACAACCAGCAGAAACATTGAAGAATACACCTCCAATTAAAACATCGAATAGGAGATTTAACATGCACAAACGCTGCAAGACCACATCTGAAGGAATCAGGGAGACTGACAGCTGTGCTATACTATACAGGACTTACTTATACACCCTGAAAATTAAAGGAGCAGCTCTGCTTTTTCTTTGATGTCGCCTTGTGTTTGATGAGAGGCTCCGTGCTGACAAGGCAGGAAAGACTTTGAATGCAATTAAATGATGCAGTTTGTAAAACATTTATTTGTGAGAATTTGGATTCAGGCATCAACAGTGATGGAGAGAGAGCTGATGGCAGAGTATTTATATGAGTGTCCAAATGTGGTGCTAATAAGGCTGAACTCTTTGTTGTGTCCTTGCTGCAGTGAAACAGCTCATTTCTTGAAGCCATTTGGTTCATTATAAAGGGGCGACA